AAAATTAAAATATTCTCTTCCCAATTATTCTTTTAACTTTCCGGTAGTTCAGATTGACTTTCTTTTTTTACAACTTTTTGTTTTACTGGGTAACATGTTCTTCCCTTGGCAAGAGACCATGACTTCTTCACTGCTTAGCTTAGCTTTAGGGACAGGATGTAAAAAAGAGATGACACTACCTCTGGGCATGGAGGGTCAGAAGAACAGGATGTGCTCTACTCTAAGATAAACAGAAAAGATCGTCCAATTGTTTCCTCTGTGACCAGGCACCTCTACCCCAAATAGGTTTGAGAGCATTTGGAGCAATAACAACAGGGTTAGAATGAGTAGGCTGAAACTTAAAGAGTATTACTCTGCATGACAAATCTTTTTCACTTACGCTTACAGGTTCTGACGATGGATTTTTTAAATTAATTATTTTATCTCTCTGGGTCTCTGTGTGTTTTAGGGTAAATCTACAAAATACTGAAAGGCAGACGTGTTGCAGGTAGAAAATATGTACTTACCTCTTATCCCTTATCCTAATTGTGAACATCTTTACCCAGCAACCATGTTCGTTGGGAATTATTAGGGTTCTAGAAACTGAAAGGATGCAAAAGAGTACCTAATTTACTTGCCTTAATTTCATATTAGAAGAAACAGAAAGAAAACAAGACAGAGCATGTTCACTAGTTTGTGCAAGGTCACCTGGCCCAGTCAATAACCCACGTGTTCAGTATCATAGCTTTCAACTCTAACTTTTGTCCTTGATTATCCATATCTCATTATAAAAACTGCTAATAATTTTAACAGAAGATAGGAAAGGAATCTATGGAAATGCTTTTCATATATTATCTATTAATTCATAGGACAACCCGACAAGCTCGGTGTTAGTAAACTCAATTTGCATATGAAGGAATGGAGGCTTGCATTAATTTGCTCAAGGTCACAAAGACCATAAATAGCAGATCCAAGACCAGAGTCCATGTCTGTGTGAGTGTGGAGTTCTAGAAGTCCTGCACAGAACGGTGCTCCTTGCCACCCTGGGCAGGTGCAGAAAAAGGCTCGTTTAGCAAACTGGTCACGTTGCTTCCTTCTTGTCCCCCTCCCCTGCCTGCAGGCTTCTATGCATGAAGATACAAATCATTCTTGTCGCTCCAACCTTATGTGACCCTCGGTTAGCCTATTTCCCAGTACTGGGCTACAGCCATCTGAAAGCAACAGGATAATTTCTTTTAAAATTCTATAGTTTAGAATTTTCTTTTTTACTGACTGCACTACTCATTCATTAGCTTGAATAAAGTTGTCCTGCTATGTTTTAACATTATCAGATTAATCCCGATCAACAGGAAAGGGCAAGGGAGCAACAATCATGTTATACTAGTCATCTGCTTGACCCATTTTTTCCCCTTTATAGCATAAAGGGAGGGTATAGCATAATTCCTATCTGAATTACAGCCAATCAAAATGAGTGAAATTCAAATTCACCATGAGATTTATTATGACTAGACACTATATACTTATTAGAAAGGATGAATAAGACATAAATATTTTAAAGCTATCATTAAAATAAAATAAATAGAATAGAGTTCCCTAAACTCTGATGATCTTTTCTTTTTTCTAAAAAAAGAAAAAAAAAAAAAAAGAAACGACCACAACAGAAAACTCTTGCTTTGCTTTGCTTTGCTTATGCCGGTGACAACAGCAGTAATTTTCTTTCTTTCTTTCTTTATTTCTTTTGGTACCGGGAATCGAACTCAGGACCTTGCGTTTGCCAGGCAGGTGCTTATGCCACTGAGCTATATCTCTGGCCCAAGAGCAGTAATTTTAATTAATCCTGTAACTAAGTATCAAAAGTCTCTCTTGCTTTCTCATAGATCCCAAGAAATAAACCTTTTATCTCTCACTTCATAATTTATAGACAGGAGTCATTCAACTATTTGGACTACAGCAATCACATGTGTTGAGTTTAGGAATTTATTGAAAGGAAAAAAACTTTCCAAGGACAGCTTCCAAATTTAAATTTATAGTTCAGTAAAGATCTTTGTTTTTGCAGAAAAGAGCTTTGTTTCTATCTTTCCATTTAAAATCTTTCTGGTAGGTGAGCAAGCTGTGCTGTCCATTTGAGCCAATCCAGTGAGCACGGGTGGATCCTTCTGTTATCACCAGGTATTCTTGTGTCTCTGATCACTTTCCCTCATGTAGGTATACAAGTGAGGAAGACATGCATGACTGAGTGAATGTAAATGACTCCTGGAGTAACATTTTAAAAACCAAGTAATTTGAACAACCAACCAACCAACCGAAACCTGTAGTATATTATCTAGGTGTTGTGCATGTGTGACTGCTGAATAATGAGAGAATGCTGGTTAACTGATTGATACTCTGTTGTTTAATTAATACTAAAAATGTGCTCACTTTGACTGAGATCCCACCATCTGGCAGGAATTGCTCCAGGCGTCTGAGACACACCAGTAACAAAACAACAGCAGAAGACCTACCGTCATGGAGCTTCCATTCCAGTACAGAGAGGGGGAAAAAAGAAATAATTAAATAATAAAGAGTGTAGTATGTTAGAAGGTGATAACAGCTATGGGAAAATGGGGTGGAGTGGGTGGGGGACTCAGAATTTATGGGATGATGAGTTATAACTAAATATGGTGGTCAGGGGCCCCACACTGAGAAGATGACACCTCAGCAAAGAAATAGTGGAGGGGAAAAGCCATCCAGCCCCGGGGGAAAGAGCATGGTAGTGGGAGGGGACAGAATAAGCAAAGGGTCTGACTGGATTGGAACCTGGCGAAAGAGGCCTAAGTGGAAGGAAGAAGAAAGGTGAGAGGGCTAGGGGCTGCAGAGGAAGTGAAGGTGTGGGTGTCAGCATGTAGGAAAATTATGTATGTATTAGACCACTGTCACTGGCATTCCGCCTTGGTCTTGTCTTCTGGGAAGACCTGACAGTGCCACTCACCTGAAATGCTATGGTGGTGGGACTGAAGTTCAAAATTAAAGTGCAACTTTCCCTGCAAAGATGCTTTTAAAAAGCAAAGGGAACATCTCAGTTTTCTCATTGCTGACCTGCCTCCCTAGTGCTTAGCCAGTTCACATCTATGAGTAGGACATTGCAGTTGCCTCCTCGTCAGTGGTTAGTATAACAGAGTAAACCCAGGAGTCGAAGTCAGCTAGCGACAGACCTGACAATAACCTTTCTCATTCCTAGCATCTGGATCCGTTTCAAAGGATCCTGACAAATAACATGAATTTTTACTTTTCAAGCCTGCAGGTAACTACATTAGCTTCTTATAATCATTAAAAAGCTATGTTTAAACATAAATGACTGTGTCTGGGAAGTGAGTAATTGCCCTGCACATACACAAAATTCTCTTGATTCATTTGGTTTAGCTGTACTTAAGAAACAAGATGCTGCAGCAAGGTGCTCTTATTTGCTAAATGACTATCTACGAAAATATATGGCATTGGGATATTTCAGCTAGAAAATGTCAAGAACTGAATAATCAAGCATTAGGTTACAAAGTTTAAAAGTTAATACAGCAGCACACAGTATTTGTATTAGTGCTTTAAGTAGATAAATTAAATTGAAATGTGTCTCTTAAGCAGTCATTGAACAAGCAAGATGAGAAATAAATTGAGCTTCACATCGGCCTTTATGGCATCTAACAACTGTGTCTGTCAACACACGGATCCTTTTCACTGTCAATTCAACACACATTTTGCAGACCTTGGGCCTGCAATTATTTCATTTCCTTTCTTGGAAATGTAATTTCCACTTACTTTTGGAGAATAAAAGGCAGACAAAAGGAGGAAGGAGTTGCAGTATTTTCTGATTAAGATTATCTGTGTAAAATGGTAAAGGAAAAAAATCTATACACACACACTGCAGCATTTCACAGAAACTAACTTGTCTCAGCCAAATTGCTTTTGTGTCTAGATATTGGTTCAAATGTAGCCAGATTGTTGATGTCAAATTAGGTGCTAAACAAACTTAATAGGAAAGATGAAGAATGAATATAGATCATCTTTCTGTAAGAACTGTGCAAATGACTCTAGTCAAAAGGAAACACATGACTGTGGGAGAAAATGTGCTTTTAAACACAATGAAATTAGATAAAACTGTAAATCAGCAAAGAAGGCCATTCATTCCAAAAGAGAGAGGGTGGAGGGGAGGAAAGTTAATAGCACCAACGAGAGAAACGCAAGAGAGGAAAAAATACCAGCTGGCAAAAATAGACCCAAACTGAATTTCAACTTCATTTGTCCAGGTTTCACCTTTTAAGCTAAGACAGATAAACTATAAAACGGGCTCTTTCTCTCTTGACAGAACAGGAAACCAGAGGTTTAATTAACTGTGATTATAATATTCAACTGATCTGATTTGTCTCACCTCTTTCCTTTTCTTTAACTGACAAACTAGCTGACATCCTGGTGAAAGAACTAAAGCAAAACTGTAGACTAATTTCAAAAAGAGCTTGCCATGGTTATAAAACAAAGTGATCCTCCACTGGAACTCTCAGAGACAAAGTGGCATTTTGAAGCCAGTCAATATAGATTATTCTACACAGTGCCATTTCTTTAGGATAGAGCAGTGTGAAGGCAATCTTTCACTGAGGACCAGAAGATAAAATTGCACAAAAGCACCCTCCAAAGTGGCCCTGAAAGACCTAGCATCTTCTTCATTTGCTCAGGAACCTTTAAGAGAGATGATCAAAGCATTTAACTTTGAACAATTCATTGTCTTCTGATGCTAGTCGTTCCTTTCTGTAGAATAAGAATGTGCTTGTCAAACCAGTTTAGAGGAAGGACTTCTCTTTAGGCATGGTGTTTGTTTTGGATCTGAACAAAACTTCTAAACTGGGAGCCTAGAAGCAAAGGTTGGCTCATCAAAGGGAAGAAGAAGAGAATTGGCTAGCCAAGTCAAAATCTCTCTATGAAAAACAAACCAAAGAAACACGTTAGTCATTACAGATTCTTCTACACAGAACTTAATAAAGAGCATTGTTACTTACTGAAATGTAACCTTGGAACTTGTGCATCCTTCCAATTTACGGGACCCTTCACCTGGCTCAGGTGTGAGGGGGGACCGGCTGTTGAATTCTGCCTCCAGAGTGTTCTTGTTCAAGGCTGTTTTTGTTACACTGGATACAGAACCCAACACTGGCATGGATTTGGACTCTGAGGTGGCTAATATCCCAGCTGGACCTTAAAACCAAACACATACCTCAAGTTTAATCATTCCGTGTGATGCTTATTAATATGGCACTGAAAAACAGATTAGGTAAAAATACCTCAAGATGTAAAAAGGCCAAATTTGTTAAAAATTTCAAGAGCATGCTGGGAAAAAAATGTTCCTATTAGAAATCTGCTCTGCTTTGGTGGCACTACTGCTTTTCAGTGCACCAGGACCATGCTGAGAAATTATGCGCAGACCTTGAAGAAAGTACCAAGTTCCAGCACACAGCCCCCGCACTGACCAGAGTTCCCAGCAATATGAGAATAGTGAAAATGCTTTTCTTCTCCCAGAGGATGGCTTTCTGACAGCCCTACTTGAGCCATTTCACCTCTCAAGAGTTAATTCTTCCCAAAATTCAGCTCTGCAATTTACAAAGAAAAAAATGAAACAATATCAAAAGGCTCTTTTAAAAAAGCTTACGACGCCTTCTTGAGCATTAAACAGCGTTCACGAACATTTTCATTTTAATGTGAATGAGAAGTAAGTGGATTTATTGCCTCTGACAATATAGACACAGGATTACAGAAATTAAGTGACAAAGAGTTTGGCTGTTTACCCTTTGGACTTTTCTGGTCTTTGGGATAGCATTTAAAAACTACAATAGGGCTTGTTATTGAAATAATTGGCATACCAATCTAAAAATTCTGGGCATTGCAACTTTGCTTCTTTGTGACTTTTTTTCTGTCTTTAGGTAGCAAGATTCTACTGTATCCTTCCTGAAACTGTAGCCTGAATGCTTTTGAGACAGATTTATGAAGTCACAAAGAGGCAAATTTAATGATAATTTCTATGTATTGCTTTTTTCTTTTTGTCTTTTTGAGACAAGGTCTCACTATGAAGTTGAGACTGGCCTTGAGCTCACTTTGTAGCCAGGCTGGTCTCAAACTCGCAACGATCCCCCTGCCTCAGCCTCCCAAGTGCTGGGATTATAGGCGTGCGCCACCACGCCTGGCCTTTAATAATAACTTCTAAAAAACGAAGTTGAAAGGTGCTGCTAAGTAAAGGCAAAGCTTGGGAGTCTCTTTACCCGTAAAAAATGTCAGCTCATCTCCCAAGATGGAAACTCCTAGTGGATACAGTTCAGAATACCAGCTAATCCATGATCACTAATACTTAGCTCTGGAATGTTATCCCTACGCTTGGCTATGACCGTTTGTGATGTACTATAATAGGACAGTGTATCAACTGTACAAATAAAGGTCTGATTTAGAAAATCGACTAAGAGGAATTGGAGATTTCCTCAGCCAATCTGTTGAATATCCCTTTCACTGACTCCATGTAGAAAAAGCCGCAGCCCACAAAGCATTGGTCTCTGACTTCTTTACTTATTTCCTCTAAACCATGTGGGTAGACAAGTGGTGACACTATTGAATATTCTAGCTAAAAAGGGCTTTTCCTCTCCGAGACACTACATGTGAAGCCTGATGTTATGTGGGGATGTGGAAGTAAAGGCAGAAAGAACAGGAAAAAAAAAAAAAAAAAAAAGCAAAAAAGTTCCTGAAAATATAAATGTGAAACTGAATTCAAGATTTGCTTCAGATCAGCTCTATTCTGCCCTTGGGCAATTGTTGACTACTGCACTAGATAGCTTTAAACAATCTGTCCTTGTAGGGAGGCAAGATCCGTTTCTGAACACACAGATGCCGGCCGCTTGTTCAGCCAACTGAAGCCAATTAAAAAGGGGGAAGAGTCGTGAGCTGAGCCAGGGCTCTTATTTTTCTTACATATAAAAAGAAATCAAGAAAAACACACCATGTTTGAGATCATTGCTGCATCCTGCTCAAGCCACACAATGTTTTCTAAGAGGCACTTGCTGCTCTGTGAGATGCCGCTCTGGCAGGTTGCTAGGCCAGGTAAAGCGAGGGAACATCACCAATTAAGTCCAGAAGAAAAACTGAAACAAGTGGTGCATCCCTGGCCCCTGAGGAGACACCCACGAACCTGGGACCCAAGTTCTGCAAAACCCAGGCTGCGCCGTTACGATGGTTTCTTCCTCAGCTTGCGTCCCCTCCCATTTACTTTGTGCACAAGCAAACAATCTCAGAGACCCGAGCGCAACCAAGGCAGAAACCCATCCAAGGCCTCCTCTTTCTCATTTGATTCCTGCCAGGTAGCTGCCAAGCTTTAGCTCCTTCCTCATTCCCTCCGCTTGGAATCTGCACTTGGTCATTACATGACCTTTAGAAAAAGATTCACATGGTAAATGCCTCTTCCAGTTTGGCTTCTTTTTTTTTTTTTTTGGTACCAGGAATTGAACTCAGGACCTTGCCCTTGCCGGGCAAGTGCTTGAAATCCCTGGTTCTGCCTCTTCCAGTCTGATGCTAAGAAAATGTTTATACTACCAAAAAAGGGTTTTGTTGTTTTTAGATGATGAAACCTGTTAGTTTCTTTCATTTTGCTGTTGTTTTGTCTTGGCTATTAAGAAGCTCAAAATCTCTGCTCAGTGACAAGCCACTCCCTCATGTACCAGTGGCTCTGCTGAATTTACCTTTTATTCTAACTTCCCTCAAATGATAAAATATTTGTAGTTTGGTGGGATATAAGAGTTAAAATGAGAGATTCTCCCAGTGCCTCTATAATGAGTTACTTTTTCCACTCTTTGAAATACAGTGTTCTTTTTCTATACTGCCTAAAAGTAAAATGTTCCCTCACTGTTTCCACCAAAAGGTAATCCTGAAACAGGGAGTGTTATACATGTTTGATCAAATTCATGAATGAAGTAAGAATGTTTCTGGAGGAACAATACAGTCCATGGCAAAACACAAATGTAAATAACTCTGCCCTAAAAACAAAGAGTCATCTACAGCATCCTACGAAATGGTAAAGCTTGCAGGAATTCTATAAGGACAGAATGATGGAAAGGGTAGCTCAGGCACAGATCAAGTCACAAAAATGATGACTCACATGGAAGCTGCGTAAGTGCCTGTATGTGTAAAGCAATCCCACAAAAAATATCTTCTGCTGCCCCTTTAATCTTCCTGAGAGGTGGTTATATGGGGGGTGGGAGAAAGAATCCCTGTAGGATTTGAATAAAATAATTTGCAGACTAAATTCAAACTTGAACAGTTGGCTTTTTTTTTTTTTTTTTAAATAAAAAACCAAAGGTTTCATCTTTTCATAATAAAAGTCTGGCTGGTATTTGGCTCCTTTTAATTCAAGGAACCAATTTATTCAATTATGTGACTATAACCTTATGTAAAAAACAGAGTTGAGCACGTCCAAGACCCCATCTTTAATATCCTAGCAACTTAAACTTGGTCAACATGACTCAGTATTTTGCAGATTTATACAGTTATGATGGACTATGTGAAATCAAACTACTTGAGTCTAAAAGATTCAGCCTACTAGCTCTGGTTGCTGATAATTTATGGCATTTTCTCAAAGTCAGTCTCCTCCTTACCACAAGGGGAAAACCTTGTAAGAGCATCTGCTAATCCCTCTGACCAAACTGGTGAAAACTGAAGACACACAAAGTCAGTTCTGCAACTGATTTTAAGGCTTAATACATGGCTAACCTGACTCAAGTGTAAACTCTGAGCTGGGGCCTTTTTAGATGGTACTTTTATAGTTGGTGACACAACTGAAATTTCTCACTCACTTGGGTCACAAGCAGAAGCAATAAGATAAATGGATACAAACAGTAAGGATGATTTTTCTGCATTTTTATCTGAAGTGTGACTATTACTGAAATCACTAATTACCAGGTGCTTACTCTGTGCCGGGCTGAGCAGTAAGCAGTTTTCATATACTGACTGGTTCTGGACCCTGTACGTGATATTGTATTCTTGCCCAAACCCATCCTGAATGTCTTCACACTAGGGAATCTCACATGAAACAAATCAGATGTATTTATGCCAATTATCCACAAACAAGTAAACCAATAAATAAAAATATATTAGAGTTCTTGTAAGATGTCCAGAAATACCCTTTGCCCACCCAATACTTCTCACTCACATTAAAAATAAGCATGTTAATAATAATTTTTAAAAGGTGTTAGAGAGGGACTGCAGGAAGAGGTTTCAGAGGTGAAGAGAAGGGCCGTGGAGAACGCAAACCAGCTTACTACTGCTATCTGCTTCTGCTGTCACCTTTCTGCGACGCAAAATCCTTTCTAACTCAGTTTCACTGTTTTCAGGGTCAAGAGATTTTAAGCTTCTTGAACTAGTGGATTTGTTAAGTGTCCCCTAAAGTGAAAACAGAACAAAAACAAAAAGATTAATGTCTTAATACAACATACAAAGGAATATAAAAATCAAACCAACAAAACATCACCAGAATTTGAATGGGATTAGGAAACAAAACTTGCTGTATATATTTTATAAGGATTGAATATATATGTGTGTGTGTGTAATTTTTTAATGTACACATCCTCAACAACACAGAGCATTGGGTCATTTAAGAAGACGCTCCTGATGACGCAGACACCAGCTTCACATCAGAAGAGCAGTACAAGAACACCTCTGGAAGAGCTGACTGTATGAAATTCACAGTGGGAAGGTACTTGCCCAAGGATGACGAAGATTCTGATGTGTGTTGATCAGCTGGAGAAGAGAATGGATATACGAAACTCACCTTAGAAGGATATTTTGATATGGTAGCCATGAACTAGTGAACCCAAATCCACGTGACACTGAAAAAAAAAACTGTGGCTGAATCTTCAGAGAGAGACTGCCACTGGCCGCACACCTGGTTACCATGGTGTAGTGGCTACAAAGGAGGCATGGAATGGTCTCCAGGGTCACAAAGAAGGACTGCACTGTGTACACCTTGAACTCAGTGTGGAAGAGGAAAGTTGTAATCATACAAGGAAGCATCTAATCCCTTATCCCTAATGGAGGAGACAGTGAACGTGTATTCAGTACCCAGAAGATACTGGAGGAAATAAGAGAGGCCATCAAGCTGTGCCCCTGCGCAACTGGCACTGGTTTTCAAGAAGACTAAGACTTATGCAGTGGTTCACTGCTCAGCCCCCCTGGAAGTTAGCGATGGAGGGAGATCTATGTTTTCCATCTATATTTCCAGTCAGATGTTGGTACAGAATGTAGGTGATGCACTCTTCTTTGATTATATCTAAGGATTGACAAAGCTCTCCAACATTACAATTTCTTCATACGAAACGTCCACTGTTTCATATGGGTCATAAGCTTGGGAGTACATGGAGAAGGAAAAAGAATTATTATTTTCTGATCAGAAGATAAAAGAACCTCACTGCTAGTCTAACTGGCCAGACTTCATGCCAGAGTCCGAAGGCAGCTTTTGACCAGCAGAGCTAATAATCGTGCCAGCTTCTGTAATGTTGGAACTCACTAAGCTATTGCCTGAGTCTTGCTCCCTCTCTATTGCCAACTTCGCAAAGGATTATAAGAATGCTACTGGCTAAACATGGCCACCTGTGTTTCTTCTTTAGCCTACAAAACAAAGTAAATTCCTTGGAAAATCAGATAGTTACAAATTTCGTATGATATAGGTTATAATGCGCTGTTTAGAAAATTTTTTTTTCTCTACCTGCTGAAACTTATGGAAAAAGCCTACTGATCAGGAGATTATATTATTTTGCTGTCAGCTGTCTAGCCAACTTATATGCACAATACTTAGATAAGCCTCAGATTTTAACCAGGCATATGATACTTTTTCCCCTTGAAGTACCTCTTTCTGATTTTCATTTATTACACAAATTCATAAAATATATTAAAAGGAAAATCACATCATGTGTAATGCTAGCTTATAATTGAAAAACAAGATGATCTGGTGTAACACTACAGGTCTTATCTACTCACTGAAGAGACACACAGTAAGGGGTGATTGACACTGCCAAAATAAAGATGATGAACAGCTATCATTTTAGATACACTTGTAGAACAAGTATTCCCATACCATGCATGTTGCTAATTCTTTAAAACGTAACAATTGTATCACTTGTTAAGTCATTTGAAAACTTATGGTTATCACTACTGAAATAACTTATAAAACTACTATCACTACATCATCTGACTGTCAAGAGGCTGAGTTATTTCAAGGTGAAGGGACAGGATACCTTTTATTGATGAATTTATCTTCCATAACATCCTTCAGTTTTTCATCTGGATAAATTACTTCCCCAAATTCCTGACTGTGGTAAGCTACCCTGTAGTCATACCTGATACTGAAGCAACCTACTTTCTAACTCTAACCCTTGAGTCCTTAACTTTTTTCCATTTACTGACTCATGTGTTTAACTCAGCTAATGCGTAAACTCAGCTAATAAGTAAACTTTAAATATATAGGCAATTGTGGAAGACAGAAAGATTTCTGCATGACTCTTCACTGAAATGATAAAAAGTTCAACTAATAAAGTACCTAAGATGATCTTAGTCATCTATTCATAGTAGAGTCATAAAATGTGAAAATCAGAAGTTGACTCAGAAACTTCAAGGGATGCCTTAATTTTTCAAGAATTTCAAACTGCATGAGCTGCAGTTTGCCCACATCTCACAGTAAGTCAGTGAGGGGCTGAACAGAGAATTTTGATCTTCTGATTCCCAAACCAGACTCTTCCTATTTCTTTCTCTTTCTTTCTATTTCAAGCCACCGTGATCATCTAACAATCTTCGTCGGCATGCTTATTAAATGTCCATGATGCTGACGAATGTCATTTTCACATGGCAAAATTACATGCTCAACAATTCTCACGCCCTTTGCAAAAGTGAAGATGTTTGAAAAAGACTGGCAAGAACACTTATTTCAAGCGACTTTTGTATTTGTTTTAGGGTCAGCCACAGAGACTCTTAGATTAATCTGTACCATAGAAATCATCATGGCCACTTAGAGGTGCTTTTATATGATTGGGGTAATTCTAGAGGCTTCATCTGCTAAACCGCAAACTTCTGTGCGACTATGAGAATGAATTATTTATATTTTTATTTACAAAACAGCTTTAAAATTTTAGTGGAAGTAGATTCATTAAACTGAGTGATCAACAATGAGTTTGAAAAGTGCACAACTTGAAAAATAGAGTTTTCCAACTTTTATAAACCAGGGATTTGTTCCTGTATGTACTGTCTCTCAACAGCAGCCAGATCTCTAAGTCATACTTATACCTCGCGTCACATTCCATATCATCGTCCCTCAGAGAGCTGCTTCTCGGCTCTGTCCCTACAAGGAAACTGAGAATGTGTCTCATGGTATCTCCTAGTAACAGGCACTTGCTGCACACATCATATACAACCGAAGGGTTTTTTTCATGTAAACTTCTTACGTGCCATGACTATGCAGTTGGTATAATGTGCTTTACTGAGAACCGATAATCTTCACACTAAATTTCAGCAAGAAATACCAAAAGCAGGCTAAGCGAGTGGCTTGCTTTCTCTAACAAAAATGTGTAGGGTTTTTTGTTTTGTTTTGTTTTGTTTTAAGTGACTGGGAGTTACAAGTGATCTTCCATCCCTGAAAGGAAACTTCTTTTAGGGTAGAAGAGAGTTCGCCATTTGGCAAAGAAAATAGGGAAGGCAGTCATGAGTTTTATTTTTTTAAAAACTTAATGTAAGGAAATAATATTGCCAAAATAACTCCTAGTGGTATGTCAATGCCAGGTAAGGCAGAGAGATCTAATAATAGATCTAGGGCAAGAACAATAAGAGCAATTTGCCCAAAAAAGGGGAAAAAGGTTTTAAAACTTTTTAGAATTTGAGTAAATTTCAAAACTTTCCGTCTTGGAAGTGATATAAAATTATAGTGAATATGAGGGTATATCTCAGTGTTAGAGCACTTGCCTAGAAGAATTCAGGCCCTGGCTTCATTCCCCAGCCAAACACACACACACACACACACACACACACACACACACACACACAATGCTGTAATTCAGTAAACTTGTTACCATCAAGTGTTACCAAAGCACAGAATATCTTGGATAATCAAGTATTCACATATGTTTCTCATACAAATGTCTAATTTTCTAAATGAACCAAATTTTTAAAAAGTCAAATTCAGTATGATTTACTCTCACTGAAGATCAGACCTGTTCTCTAGTGTTCTCTAGCACCTCACAGCGCCCCTGGGGACATCTTCATCAGCATGAATTAGCATTACAATGCACAGACAACAAAAGGGAGCATCACAGGGAGTGCTCCTAACCCTGGATCACAAAATCTTCTGATCAAAGAATCCATTAGATAATAACCACATGCTTTTGCAGTGGTTTTAATCCTTGATTCCGTAGGTAGACCACCACTGTTAGCCAGTGATATACCTCTTTTCAGGGCTAATCCCACTCACTTAAAACTAAAGTGAACTAATTAAGCCGTTCTGTGTGAAGTCTACTGTTCAAAGACTGCTTGAAGAAAATAATTTTGTTTAGCACCATGATGTGGATGTCTACACACAATGGTTAATTAGCACAGTAATAACAAACAGGGGAGTGTTCAGTGCTGCACCTCCGCCCCCATGTTTGTTGACTTACTGCGCATAACTGGGATCGGGACTGAAACAGGGCCTGAAAATAGAGCTCTCTGCCTGGAGCATTTCTTGCCTAGAATAATTCAGGCCCTGGCTTCATTTGTCTAACAGCAACTGCTGAAGAGGGCAACGGCCATTTACTCCGAGTTTCAGAAAATAGAAATAGGAAAAGACGGGCATTATGTATGTTCTCCAACAAATGTGAATTACCTTTAGAAAACAAAATCAGTGCCGTAAAGAAAGGGACTTTTATTTTATCCTCTAATTTCTCATTGAATAATTGTTTCAGCTATGAGAAAAAGCAGACTGTGACCCTGAGACAAACATATTTGGGTAGAAGCTCGGCTTTACATGCAGGTGTCAAGAATTCCACTTTTGTGACTCAAAGGAAAGCATTATCCATGCAAAGCATCATCTACCTACTATAGTTCTGTTATTCATAAACATGTACTGATCCGCACACATGGTCAGACACTTGACCTTCAGGGTGCAAAGCCAGGATTAGAAGGCAAGAACAGGAAACAATGCCGGTGAAAGTGCAAACCGCTCTTTTAGAACAAAAAGAGCAAAGTGTTACTTCATCCATTATTTTTACACGTGCTGGAGGAATCCACAGCACAATCAAGTAAACTGTCAAGAGAAATGAATGGAAAGAAAACGTAACAAAAACAACTATTCACGAAAAAAGACTGCAAAAATATTCTCCTTACATTTCCCAATATAGTATAAACCGGTAATAAACTAGTATCTATTCTTACCAGTATTCCTTTTAGCTCATTCACTGCACTTTCAGAGCCCTTTGAAGATTCTGGCTACAATTATAAAGAGAAAAAATAATTACTGTGTAATTCAGTTTTACAATACTAAATATTTTTACATGGCAAATCATTGGTAGCTATATTGGTAGTACATATGGCTGTGTATTTTTTAACGAGGTCTTTGGCTCACAGCATGAAAAAATATTAGCCATATCATCGTGCTCCCCAGGTGCAGTTGAACAGAAAAGTAGAAGTTATATTCAAAGCAAAGGCATTCATGCTACCACTTTTTAACTATTTTGTTACCTCTTAGTTTTACCGTAGATGGAAAAGATTAGGCAAGCACCAGATTTCAAAGATTTGATTCCACGTTATTCTGAATTTTTAATAATAAACTGTTCTCCATGCACATCACTGAACTTCTGCCAGCAAGCGAGGAAGAGAAGGCAGCGCAGAGCAGAAAGCAAGGGCTGGGTCAAAACATCTCTTGGCTCCATGAGCTCCTTGCGAAGAAGACCAGCTTACAGGGGGCTGGAGTGTTAAAGAATTTCACAGCAGGACTGAGCAGAAGAAAGGACCAGGGAGGAAGGTGGCTTCCAGGACAGGGTGAGCATCCCTGCCTGCCAGAGAAGCAAGAGCCCTCTAGGGGGGCAGCCCTGTTGTTTCATCTCCCAAGGAAGTTAGGCTTGAGGCAGGTGTCTCCACTGGAAGCTCAGTTCTCTTCTGGGCACACCAAGAGCAAAATAATCTCAAATAAAATTCTGGGTAATCTCTGCTTGCTCCAGTGGATCCTTCAACTAACTTAATGGATGGAAAATTGAGGCTGAAGCCCCATGAAAAAGCAGCTCAGGAAAGACCTCTGACATCCCCTGCATCAATTCCTCTCACAAAATGCAGAGATGGAGAGAAAATTTGCAAGACATGGTGACAGGAACCCCTGGAGCCTCTCAGTCCCAGAAGAGAGTTAAGGCTCGATTCTATCTCACCAAGCAATGGGAGGAGATAACAGCAATCCATATTCCTTTCCTCTCCAAAGACAACAAAATAATGAGCTCCCATTTCAACTTTTAAAAAAATGGATAGTGCAACATTAGGCTAAGGCGTTCCACATTCACAGCCAGGGTTCCTGTGAATCATACGTTCCCTCGGTGCCAGGTGTGAATTCTAAGAAATTCCATGCCAGCACTACTCATGGTGTCAAGGAATTTAGAAAATATGCAGTGAAGTTAGTATTCTCCAAGCAGGAAAAATGTTCACATGACAACTGTGACTTTACTCAAAGCGCTGCCATGCCGCGCAAGCTGTCCTGATTGCAGAAACCTTTTGGAGCCTGGGCTGCAAACTCTCATACATGACATTTCAGGAGGCACTGAGGGCGCTGGGGGAACAGGGCTGTACCCAAGCATGCACTGAGCGTTTGTTTCAGAGATCATCAACCTGGCCATTCAGCACTACATCTATACAGCTTAATGATTACCAGCGAAAAACCCAGCCATCCACTGATCCTGGTTCAGTTGTTTTCCAGATTCTGAATTGGCATTAAATAATGTGCAACTGTGGGAAGAGTCACGGGAAGAAAGAAAGAGCACAGAGTGATACTCTGGAAAATGAAAGTACATGCAGAACATTGATTGCTTATGATTTAAGAAGTTTCTGACATTTTTCTCCTCTAAACTAATTTTCTTTCTTTATGACACTGCATTTTTCTCTAGTAATAGTTTGGTTTTGCTTATTCTTTCCATAATAGTTGTGACATGAAAATCACAAAAATGCATTCTTCTTCAAAGTGGCACTCAGACCCTGCATTTTCAAGCATTATTACATTTTATTCCACTGAATCCTGATGACCACCCCGTGAGTCAGACAGGGCAGGCGCTGGCCTAGTTTTGGGTAGGAAAAAGCGTGGGGAAACTTAATGATTACCAGCAAAAAACTTCAGGGCCTCCACTCCAACAACGGGGCTTGTCTTTCACTCAACCGGTCCTGCCAGACTATTCGACCCGGCTTCCCTCCGGCTTGACATTCTGTTCTTTACTCAGAAAATGGCTTCCAGACCAACGGCACAGACGGATCTACTCTACCTGGCTGCTGGAGGTTCTGCACCACCAATGAGTGAGCATCACTTCCCTTCCCACCACTCTCACCGTGTTCAGCCCTGCCCACACCCATTCCTGCCTCCCTGGCCTGGCTCTCTGGCCTGCCTGTGACAAAGCAGCAACTTCAAAAGCACACTGGAATTTCTACTGCACAGTAGGACACCCAGAGACATTCAAAAACTTGAAGAGGGAAGTCCTGGAAAAGAAGAAAAACACCAAACCATGAAGTCTGATGAAACAGAAGAAAGAGAACAAGTCTGTTCATATCTAATGAGAATGAAGAAACAAAGGATATTTTTCAAGAAAAATGTCAGAAACTATTATTGGGCCTACTTCCGTGTTATACACCAAAGAGAAGTATGAAACTAGACCCAAAGTACTTCGAAATCCTAGCGGGCTCACCGTGTCTCCTTTAAGAGGCCGTGGATTTTATATATAAAATCTTAGTTCTACACTGTCCTCGTTCTGCTCTACCATTCTTATGTGATCCCCTCACTAAAATTAAAGCCTCCAGGAGGCAAGGACTTTGTCTGCTTTGTTCACTGCCTTATCTCTGGCGCCTAAACAGTACTTGGCACAGAATACATACTCAATAGATTCACACAAAAGAACCAGTGATCAGAGAAAAGAAAGGGAATAAAAATTATTAATTGTTTGATATGACAGTTCATATGAATGACCCTCTGGAGAAGAGGACAGCACCGTGCAGACACGTGGCTTGCTTTCTCTGCTGATTCAGGGTCACCATGGGCCAGAGAGTCCTCCAGAACATGCTTCTAAGGAAGGAAAAGCTTTTATGACACAGTCTTATCCTAAGATTTGATCATCCTGATGAAACTCTCATCAAATTTCACATTTTTACCTTTAATAAAGCAAATGTCAAGTGAGAAGAAAAGCATGTAGTCTCCCATCACATACCTTTGCCTTTGGTCTGGCTGTCTGATTAACTGGTCTAAGATGAACTCCCTTTTTAATTCTATCCATCATCTCTTCCACGGCTTGCCTCTTTAGGTCTGTGACTTCCTCAGCTGTTCAAAGAACACATACATAAATCATCTTAGCTTATACAAAAACAGCTAATTCCTGTACTTGGTGCCTTAGATTGCACTAAGTCAGTTTTCTGACATCAAAGAACAATTTACTAAGGTTAACGACCAGGCAGCAGCACTTTTTAAAATAACTTATTTTTTAAATAAAAGATCTGATCAGAAAAACAAGAGTTATAACAATTAACGTCAAATTTGTAAGGTAGAAAGCAACAGTTTCACTTATGACAAAGAAAGTAGATTCTATTCATCCATATAAGGATAAACATGGATCTCCCCATAGGTCTTCTAAAAATCTAACTTTGCCAAAAAATCATTCAGCATTGCCTCAGAAATGTTTTTGTAAGTTACAAGACATCCTAGGCCAAAGAAATCAACCCAAAGCCTCTTTGAAAAGAGGGATCAAAGAGATATTTTCCTTGTGGGAGGAAATCTATAGTCAAAACATAAGTGGCAGAGAGCTGAAATCTATTTTTAAACTGCCATTTTTTGTTTATGAATAGCATAGATAGGAAATATTTCAACAACCTTTTCAAGTCTTTTTAAATTGTCCATGGCAAAAGAAGACAGATTATAAATAAATAATGAAGATAAAGGAAACAGATTATAAATTCAATAAATGACATTAATTAAATGTGATTAAAATCTCAACTACCTATTGTCTAATCTTTGCATTGTTTTGCTTCAAAAATTAATACAGCTCTTGAGATGTATATTGATTAATGCAACTAAAGTAAACTTAAGCTTGTTAGTTAAAATTGTGAAATTTGTGTTCCTTGCACAATAACTTGACTGAAAGTACAGAACCATATTGGAACACTGGTCACCATTAATGTGGTTCTAGATCTTGTGTTTATCTACATTCAACTCACTACAGTCAATATATTTAAGTTAGAATATTTCATACAGACTTTCCGATTAGCATCTTTAGTAGCAGATTCCTGACTGCCCGGCATATGGAAGTACTCAACAAATATCTATGGACTGATTCACTTCGGAAGTTCGGGCTTTATATATGCTGTCAATATTCTTACTATTTGAGTAGAAATGGCTAAATTCCAAAAGGCTGGCTTCTAAACGGAGATCACAACTCTATTCCCAGGCAAATTAGTACTAGTGTCAGGCTTTGAGCTAAGGAGGCCTGAATCATGGCTTCTCTTCTGGAGACTTCATGCTAACCTCACCTCTGTAGCTCCACAAGGATATGGCCATTGCTACGTTCACCATATAACCTAGGCCCTCTGATACAATCCTCACTTCCAATAGAGCCCTCATCCTCAGAAACCACTGAGAAGCTGAGAATTAAATTTTCTCAGTATCCAAAGAACATTTTTCAGGTCCAGAGGTCAAAAAAGTATCTTTTGCCTGGCAACAGGGGAAATATGGTCACTAAAGTTAGAACTCATTAAATGAAAGGGCAAAACTGTAGAATGATGATCCAGGTGCCCTGAAGCAGCATTTCCGTGGGCAGCTTCGGATAGCTCACAAATATCAACAAGGGGACAGACCATCAATTGCAGTGAGTGAAATCCATTCATGTATTCGCTTGAATATCTATTGTGCAGTACACAGTGCCTCTGCTGATCCTATTCACAATCAGGGGAGATAAAACCCAAATCTGTCATTCAAGTACTGGTATGGGTGTGGGATTTCTTCCTGAGAATTGAGAAAACAGCCTCTCAACACATTTGGTTTTTTTCAGAAAAGCTGCCATTTTGAGTGAGACCAGGAAGAGCTGTGTGGCAACAGGAACACCGCCTACAAACAGATTAGCACTCTGCAAGGGATGACCGAAACCCAATTAAATGCACCATACAAAAACTAATTAAGGCAGACAGATGGAGAATTACGGTCAACACCATTCAAATCTGCTACAGCATCTAACATAGCAGGAATTTAAAGTAGTTTCTTATATTTGCTTGCCAGAATCATAGTGATAATTCAGAGAAGTACCACTATCTGTATTGTGTACAGATTATAAACCACGCTTTAATTTCTCAGTCTTTTTCAAATATAAAGGCTTAATTGGTCTTAAGAAATCACTCTTATCAGATTCCCTACTCAGGCACAATACAAGGGCAATGCTAGGTTAGCTGCACAAGCTTTCTTCCTTGCTGACCCTGTTTTTGAAATAGCAAAAAGCAATCTATATGAACTTCTAAACTATTAAGCAGTTCTAATAAATCGGCAAGAATCACCTACAGAGCGCTCATGGTATGTTTTGTAATTCTTTCTGCAATCACGCCGTTGGTAATTGTCTCACAAAGGCATGTAATCAGAGGGATAATAGAAATATGCAGGATACTGGAGATTAAAGAAAAGGGACAAATGAAGACAACAGGTCTAATGTTATTGAACTGCCACAGGAAAATAAAATCAAATGTTCTCTGAGTGAGTGCTTCAAGGTCAGTCTGAGATCAGAAAGCTACATGTAATTAATTGGGGCTTAAATTTTAAGACCCACTTGAAAAATAAGTTAGTTCCTCAAAGGGAAAAAAGAAAAAGGAAAGAAACTTACAGATGGAACCATCACCATGCTACTCAATAATATCTTCTCATTATCCGGAAAAAGCTAAAATAAATTTCTAAATTCTACAGGATAACTCTTTTACTAACTTCTTTAAAAAGGGAATTAAAAAACAAAGCAAAACCTTATGCCATCATGACGTATAAAATTAAAAAAAAATATACTATGGCTAAATAAGTTTAAATTTGACCTCAGGTCAGAAAGTTAAGAAAATTTCCTGAACTACAATATTGTAAGAACCTATTGGATAAGGACTCTCCCTACCACTCTTCAGAGGATGGCTGGTAACTTGTCCATTTTTTACCTAACATTTTGAGTATTTCCTACATGCTGGGTCCTACTCTAAACACTTTTCATAATATAAGTCCTATGAATTCTCACAACAACCCTATGAAATAGGAACTACAACAGTTCCCCCCTTATCTGCAGGGCATATGTTACAGTTCATATGTTACAGTTCATATGTTACAGTTCATAGGGCATATGTTCAGTCACCCCTGAAGTGACTGAACCCTACCTATTCTGTTTTTTCCTATATATACATACTTATGATAAAGTTTAATTTATAAATTAGGCACAGTAAAAGCTTAACAACAATAATTAGTAATAAAATAGAACTATTTTAACAATATATTATAATAAAATGACAATGGGGGTATCCTTATCAGTTGCCTCAGGGCGAGTAGCACATACATCACAGATATACTGGAAAAACGGAATAGTCACACCTCAGCAGGCCAGAGTAGGACCACGTGTTACCCAAAACAGCAAGTGAAAACTCATAAGCTGTTTATTTCTGGAATTTTCCATTTATATTTTCATGGTTGACAAGGGTAACTGAAATAACAGAAAGTGAAACTGTGGATAAGTGACTACTGTACTACTACCCCTATTTTTTTTTTTTTTTTTTTTTTTTTTTCTCCGGTACTTTTAATTTTTGGTTTTTCTCCGGTACCGGGAACCGAACTCAGGACCTTGTGCTTACCAGGCAGGCGCTTTTGCCGCTGAGCTAAATCCCCAGCCCTACTACCCCTATTGTACAGGTGAGCAAACTGACACACAGAGATGTGAATAATAAACAACCAATAAATGATTAAAATAAATGATAAATGGTAGGCATGCCACTTAAATCTCAGCATTGGCCTGCCGAATACATTCTTGTCAAAATCGGAGTTATTGACTTCAATGTTTGTAATGATTTCTTATATTCTGATTTTAAAACCACAGCTCAAATATTTCACAGACCTTCTTTACAACCAAGCTTCCTGGGAGTCTTAAGTTAGGAATTCCCCACTTAGAAGCTCTGAAAACTTGACCAAATGTATATTAAGAGGCACTGTGGACTGCACAATAGATATTCAGATATTAAATGGGTGAGCAAGTGAATAAATGAATGGATTTCACTCTAAACTGCTAAGAAGGAAACAGTGATAGTGAGACCATCCCTACATTATAAATGCAAATCCTAAAGTATCACAAATGATCCAATGTTTGATGCTCTACATTCATTCATCCCGCATTTAATCACTGTGTGAACCATAGCAAGACATTATAAATAACTGCTGACAAATGATACTAGTGTAGCACACAGTAGGAACTTGGCAACTTGCAGAAATCTTTCCCCCAAACTTCTCCTTTGGAATCTCTCTCTTTGCTACCCCCAAATACTCATTGCTCCATGGAAACACATTTCCTGGTATATCTCCCAGTGGCATGGATACACAGTTATCGCTTCTAGACAATAAGCTCGGGTGTCTGGTTCCTCCTCAGCTTCTCCCCACACTTTTCTTCCAGCACCCTGTCCACAGTCAATGACGCCAACACACGTGAACTGAAAAAGTGTACCCTATATCCAGAGTAAGCCAAACGTAGATGATGCTTACTGGTTTCTGGTTGAGTCGCCTTTTCTTTTTTAGCACCACTGCCACTGGGGTGGGATCTTTTCCGGATCATGGACATGAGGGACCTTGGGGAGGAAGACATAGGTCAACAGGAGGTTACTGGATGTTCTATGATCCAACAGGTAAGATGTGTAAATTTTAAACCATCAATAAAAATGTGCTCTGTGTAGGTGGATACTCACATACAACTAGAATTTAAGTCATTTCTTTTCCACTTTTGGTAATATTAAATTTTTTATGATCTTACAGAAAAGAAATGTGAATCATCCCCTTCTGGGCCAAACTAATTACTGGAGGGAGGAGACTGCTATAATTAATAATACATACTTGAAAGGAAAATACACACAGAAAAAATTTCATTATGCACATATAAATTCAGAAACTGTTATTTGTGTAATACATTTAAGAGACAAGAAAATATGAAAAACTTAGGGGACAGTTCAAATTAAAAGCAGTATATGTGTGATGAGTTGTTATCTACTAGTGAAGCATGGCTATAATAACATCTCAATCTGCATGATGTTGACAAAATACTTAGATATAAAATATACTGTTTCTCTACCACATGTTACTAAAATCAATACATAAATCCCAAAATATGATAAATTGGACCATAGTAAAAATTTTAAAACTTCCAACTTCGTACACTATAGAAATAAAAATATATAAAGAAATTGTATAAATCAATGAAAAACAGCAGATAACCTGAATAAAATGGACAAAAATCTCAAAATGCCACAAAAAAGGATACACAAAATGCAGATACTTGACTGCGTTAATTATTAGGAAACACAAATTAAACTCATACTAAGGTACCACTTTTCACTTACCAAATCCACAGAAATATTTGAAGTCTGATTACATCAAATGTTGGTGGGGAGGAATTTCAAACTGAACAGGGTATATAAATTGATAGAACCACTTTGGAAGGCTACTTGGCACTATCTAGTAGAGTTAAAGATACACATATGTATCTGCTATGAACCAGTAATTCCACTACTACATATGCAGAAATGTAAATACAAGCACTTGTGCACCAGGATACATGTGCAAGAATGTTTATATGGAATTTCTATAAATTTTCTGAATTGGTACTAAGCCAAATATCCATCAGCACTATAACAAACAAGCACATTTTGAGATGGACATAAAATATATTATATATCAAGTGAGGAGTGAACTGCTACACAACACAACACAGAGAACCTTACAAAATAATGGAAAGTGAAAAGCACAAGACATAGTGAATATAGGAGAGTCCTAACTATATAAAGTTCAGAAACAGGCCATGCAGATATTACAGTAGTTTAGGGACCTTGCGGGCTCAGAACAAAATTTTCCACAAATACCCTTTGTCATGCTTACTACTGCAAACAAAGGATACTAGAAGATCTTAGAAAGTCTCTCTCTGACCATCCTCTATCCTCCTGTCTCCCACCCCTCTCCTTGAAGGGACTCCCAGAAAGCAGAATTCCCCTTCCTCAGGGCAAGCCATGGAAACTAGAAATATTACTCTAACCTTCCCTCTGCTTTATGTGTACAAGCAGGCCAGGGAGAGATCCTCTAACCCACCTTGTCTGATTGTAGATCATAAAACCCAGAGGGTCCTACCTTACAGCCAAGAAGAAGGAATGCTACATAGAGGCCAAGGAGAATCTGAGCACCCAGGCCTTGCCAGATTCTCCCTTGGTTTATGACCACTAGCTCAGACCCCTTTGTTCTTCTTTGAGCCTAAGCATAAAAAGAGACAGCTTTCCTTGGGTCTGCAGGTCTTTTTTCTGAAAGCTCTTGTGTCACACAGAACTTCAATTAAGTCTATTGGTTATTCTTTTCTCTTGCTAACCTGCCTTCTGCTTATAGAAGTGTCCCTTATGAGGGGTGAGGAAAGGTAGCATCCATTTTCCATCATGTAAGCAGAAATTTTATTTTCTTTGAGAGAGGCAAGGAAATGATTACCATACAAGTCAGATCAAGCTGGATGTGGTGGTGCACACCTGGAATCCCAGCACTCTGAGAGGCTGAGGCAGGAGGATCACAAGTTCAGACAACTAAGCAATTCGGTAACTTAGCAAGACCCTGTCTCAAAATAAAAATAAAAGGGGCTGAGGACATAGCTCAGTGCAAAGTCCCTGGATTCATTCCCCAGTATTAAAAAAAAAAAAAAAAAATGAAAAAGTCAGTGACTAAGGAGAGGATGTGTTTGGGAAAGGATCCCAGGGTACCTGCCTTGCCCTGCTTCTTGACTTGCACATTAGCTTGTACACATATACATTAAAGTTTCCCCCGCAAAAAGCCTACAAGAAAAATAACTTAGATTTTTTTTTTTTTATTCTTTCAATAGATGCTTTCAATTAGAGAAGTGAACTGGATTTGATAAAATACAGCTCCAGGGAAGACAAGTTGGGAAGATGGCAATGGAAAACCGACACCTGGATGACCAGACGCCACAAAGCTGCCCTAAGAGAAAGGACCCACGAATACTCAGATGAAGACATGCTCAGAGACGTCACAACCCAATGCTGCCTATTTACTATAATACTGGGCATTTTTTGCTATTAATCACCTTCCTGACCACCTTTTCTTAAAACTCCAAACACACTGGACAATCTCCCCCATAAAGCACAGGACAGAGTAAGCACTGCAGCCGGCTTCCTCCTACGACAGTCCAGGGCCTTCTCAACTGGGAAACAACTGACAACCGGGCTTGTGATTCTGTCTAACTTATCTTCTCCGGGCTCACAATGGCCCCAAAAGGAAATGAACTATTTGCACAAAGGTTAGGCATACTCGCTTACATGTGATTTAGAAATAAGCACATTTTATTATTCCAGGCGTTGTAAGGAATGAAATAATGTGAAATTTATTTGTTCACTTTTCGCTTTTTGACAACTGAATGCCAGGAGTTCAGTGTTTACTTCACACCATGTAAGGCAGGGTGGGCTTAGGGAGGGTTCTCTCCTCCCATTTCACCATACCCAGTCACAGCCTTGCTGCTTATTCGGAGGGAAAGTTTTGAGTGTGCACCCCTGTACACAAAGAGGATGACGTAGGAATCTGTTTAGATTGCTCGGAGTATTTATAGATATTTTGCATATGTGAATAATGTATGTTTGTCATTGTAAATCACCTGGGTAGATGACAGAAAATCTCAGCTTAAAATGTTCTGCACTGGGGCTGAGGATTTAGCTCAGTGGCACAGCGCCTGCCTGGCAAGCACAAGGTCATGAGTTCGATTCCCGGTACCGGAAAAAAGACAAAAAATAAATAAAAAAAAATTCTGCATTGAAGCATAAGGTGGAGTCATATGGTGCTGAGAGGAAAATCATCTGTCATATTAAGAACGCTCCGTCAAGGCAGATATGGTGGGGGACCACATAATAGAGGAGAGGACCTGAGCAAGACATCTGGGACCGGTAATAAGAACCCCTGGCTAACACTGCCCCACTGTACGAGCATTTCAATTGTATGGATGAAAATTATAAGCAACTGCCATTCTAAGATGGAATAAGCCAATGGTGAATTTCCAACTTTGCAGTTTGCATGAAGTGTTCTTCTTGATGGTTGTTTTGTATGTCAACCTGCCTGGGCCAGTGAATGCACATATATTTGGTCAAATGGTGATTTGGATGACATGCTCAGAGATGTCACAACCCAAAGCTGCCTATTTACTATAATATCGAACATTTTTTGCTATTAATCACCTTCCTGGCCACCTTTTCTTAAAACTCTAAACACACTGGACAATCTCCCCCATAAAGCACAGGACAGAGCAAGCACCGCAGCCTGCTTCCTTCCTACTTACATCAGTAGCTGAGAAAAGCAGGCCGCCTCCCTGATGTCGGTGGGCCTCACCAAATCAGTTGTAGGCCTAAACTGAGCAAAAACGTTGACCTTTCCCCCTAGTAAAAAGAATTCCTGCTGCCTGAATGCCTTCAAAAAATAGCAGCATTTCATGCTTTAGGACTCAAACTGAAATAGTGCCACTTCCTGGGTCTCATGCCTGCCAGCCTTTGCGATGCAACTACAGCACAGGTCCTTAGCCCTTCAAACTCAAATTGGAATGAACAACACACCCATCACCTCTGTCAGGTCTGCGCCTGACTCACTCACTCTACACGCCTTGGGACTTGCCAGCCTCCCCTAATCAATGAGCCAATTTCTTATAATGAACCACTCATGTGCTACACAGTATTTTGGTCAATGACAGTCTCCCCATGTGATAGTAGCCCCATAAAAGCGTATCACCCAGTGACACCATAGCCTTCGAAGTACACTCTGTTGTTTGTGCAACAAGGAAATCATCTCATAACACATTTCTCAGCTGTACCCCACTGCTAAACAATGCATGGCGGTACTTGTATCCACCTCTCTCTATCTCTGGCCCTGTGTGCACACAGGTCCTGCTGGCTCTGGGGCACTGCAGGGCCCCAACCAGTGCACCCAGCTTCTCCCTGTGCACCATGCCTGCCCACCACCTATCTGCTTTCACTGCTTTCGCGCAAAATGACCACGGCATGCCCTCTTCCGCCTTCCTCTCTTATCAATCATCATGCTCAAAAGAGCGGGAAGAGGAAGGGAAAAAACAATAAAGCTATTTATAGAAGCCCAAGCTTCGGTCTCCCTTGCTCTCCACTTCAATCTATGGTCTGCATCAGGGGGAAACAAATGATTCAGGGACTAAGTTAGAAAACCTTGACTGCTGGGTTCAAAGTTCACTGAAACTCAAAACATACACGAATAAATTTCTTTGACAAAAAAGTATGCCTCACCAAAGAATTTTCTTCTGAAAAATGATGTATGTCCTGTATTATATAAACTCATTTCAAAATAAAAGCCATTCATATTACTCAACAAAATGTTTCTCTGAAGATATAAAACAGTGCATGCCTGAGACATACATAGTCCATAATCTTACCCTCATGTCTCAGCCTAATTATAAAGTACTCTTCGAGGAAAAAAATTCTATTTAGGTTATCCTTTACTTTTAATTTTAGGGCCTCTCAACATTTCTGAGACTAAAAAATTAAAGGCCAACAGCAAGATTGTAATTGCTTTTTAATAGTTCTCCCTCCTCATAGAAGTGACCTTTCTTATCAGCTCAAAATTCTAGACCTTAGAGAAAGATCAAAGTGATGAATTTCCAACTTTAAATGTCAAATTCAGAATATATCCTACAGATTTAGCTACCCAGGAGAGAAAGAATTTGAAATACCTGAAATTCTTTCAATTGACTCTCGGATGGATCACGTGTAAAAATTATTTAGTCTTAAACTACTTCCATGGCTTAAAGTAGATTATGTCTACCCTGCTCAGTAAGGAAAAGTAATGAGAATCTTTTTAAAAAGGCAAAGTTCCATTCTCAAGTCGTGTGGGAGGAACATGCTACACATTCTATTCAGATGGATCAGCAAAGGTGTAAAGTATGCATAAATGGCCTCTCTGTGTGAAAGGATTAAACAAATCACATGAGTTAATGAAAGCTAAAAAAAATCAAGCAAAAGTTTAAATGCCGTTTGTTCAAGAATAAATCATACAAAAGCAGCTAACATGGTGACACGAGGAGGTGCACGGTCACCATGGCAAATAGGCTGACTTCTGTAACTCAGGACGGCGTCAGGCACAGCCCCAAAGCCAGTCAAATTTGACTCTAGATCTTGCTCCCTTGCATTACGCTCAAGGAAGCCACTAGAAACCACCAAGTCGCCTTAGGCCTCAGAAAAAAATGAATTCCGGCCTACATGTATAATTTCCTTTCCCAGAATTTAAATATAATCTATTCTTCTTTTAGAAGGCTCCTCCCTCAGCAACTGAAAGTTTAAATGTAAGGATGAGGATTAAAAATAATTGCTACTGGGGCTGGGGATTTAGCTCAGCGGCAAAAGCGCCTGCCTGGCAAGTGCAAGGTCGTGAGTTCAGTTCCTGGTACCGGAGAAAAACCAAAAAAAAAAAATAATAATTGGTACTTTTAGATCAATTACTAATTTACAACAGATTTAAGTGTTAGTCTAGTACTTTTAAAAATAAGTGAATAAACTAAAGCTTCTCAAATTCAAGTCAGTAGGAAAAAAAAAAAGATGAAAACATTCTGAAGACACTCGAAATTCCTTGGCCATACAGTTAAATGAAGTCTTAATGTTGTGGGAGGAAATCTTACAATTGACGTATCTAGGATGAAAAACTAACGTCAAGCTGCAGGAGCCTGGAACATCCACGTTGTTTCTCAGGGTCTACAATACCTCAACAGAACATGTAGGCCATGAAAATTTCCTTGCCAGGGTTTTTATAAGGCCCATTCTGTCTGTTTGTCTGTCTGTCTGCCTCTATTACTTATCAGACAAAAAGGGATTAATATACTAACCTTTAGAAATTTTCCCAAGAGAAATGCTACCTTTCATACTTTTTACTATCCCTCTAATGATGCACTCTAAGCTCATATTGAAAAGACAAGGATCACTAGCATAGCCAGATTCTCAAACAGGAAGCAGTGAGTGAGCGTCTTCCTGCTGGTGCTTACCGGATAGGATTGGGAGGTGGAGGCGGGAGTGGCGGTGGAGGAGGAGGTGGAGGAGGTACTGAGTTCTCAGACTGGTTCACTCGTTTCTGGAGCTCATCAACTGCACAGGGAGCAAGCGGTTCAGGACAGAGGAAAAAAGCAAGGCATCTTTTATACATGTGAAAGAATAAAACAACACAATCTCTCAAAACCAGTGCTTTTTATGAGGCCCCTATTAATTTTAATATGAAACCACCACAGACTTTTTAAGCTTTTTGTTATCTAGTTTATCACTTATGCAAGAAAGGCCTTCCATGTATTAAAATAAAATGTTACGATCTTTTTCCTGCACAATTTTGGAAAAAGAAAAAAAAATTCAAGACAATGGCTAACGGGTGGGAAGTAGGGATTGAGTAGGTAGAAGAAATATTTGTAACAATGTAGGACACTACTCAAACACTAGGAGACTGTGAACACTGGGATTTAAAAGTGTACGGACCAAGAGTTAATTTTAAAGATGACATTTAGTAAAAGAACTTTAATAGTTGCATACTTTGCTCCTCCGCTTCATTTCCTTCAAATACTGCAATACTAGAGTCCTTGATATTAACCAGACTCACATTCCTAAATGCCTGTATCCCAGAAACTTTCTGCTCTTTTGAAGAGCTCTCTGGAAATATAATTTATTCATTCAATTCACTGACGTCGCTAATGAGACAGACATTAAACACGAAATGTGAAGGAGCCTACGGGAGCCTACGCGCACTGCCGCTAGAGACACACTACAGTTCCTGACTTCAAGGAGCTCAATTTGCGAGCTTCACATGGCTGAGGGTGTAGCTCAGTGGTAGAGCACTACCTTTCCCAGCATGCACAATGCCCTGTGTTCAATCCGCAGAATGACAAAAAATAAGTTAAATAAATGAATGTATCTCACAGATGCTAATCCTGAAATCTAGGCTAAAGTTGAATACTGTTCTGAGGTAGCTTCCTCTGCCCATAACCAACTTTTTTCACCCTCCGCCCTTACATAGGCAGTGTGAGCTATGCTCTTAACACCAAGAATATTCCAATTATTTCATATGCATGCATCTATTTCTCCATACTAATTCTGAAATCTGATGACAAAAAGCATGCTTTATTTTCCTCTATATTTCTTAGTGGAGCTTTGGCCTGAGCTGGGTACACACACACCAAATGCTCAATAAATGCACTCAAATTTGAATCTCAAATACCTCTAGTGCCTATACCTTCTTTTCAAAGTCCAAGGTGACTTTGACTATAAGCTACTCTAATAGTCATTAAAAGGAATGGAAAATTTCTTAATTTTGGATCAATTTTTAAAAAATAAAATTGTAATCAATTTTCATCGTGAAAAAGCATTGAACATTTTTAAAAGGAAAAAAGCCTACATGGTTTCACACAGATTTTAAAATTCTAGTATAAAATTAACCAAAAATATCTGAAGTGAATACTGAAGCTGTTATAAAGCGAATGTACCTGCCTCCTTAAATTGCCTACCTTCTAACTAAGGCTTCTACTTCTGCCTGGGTAGCAACCCAGCTCACACATTCCTGGTAAGCCTCCCAGCACCGAATGAATACATCCTTTGATTTTAGCATTCCCTGGTGTTTTAAAAGTCTTTCCTTTTAATATATATATTGTTGCCCATTTCATTGTTAGGTGTGGCATAGAAAGTATTATTTCATGTGTATAATTAGACAGCAAAGGGGAAGGGAGTCTGAACACCAGAGATGAAGGTATTATAAAAAAAAAAAAAAAATTCTTTTTTTAAAAAGCACTCTGAAGTGAACAAAATGAAGTAGCACTTAAAGAATATTCATCTCTGAAGCCCTGAAAAATGATGAAATGTTTGGTTTCATATGCTAGTGGCAACTCTGCGTCCTAATCCTGCATCTCTATGTCCAAAAAGGAAGTCTAAATATCTGTGAGTCGCTGGATGACACAGGCTATTCTACTGCATGGCAGTAGTTAGAAAGGGAGGAATTTAGAAACAAATCTTGGTATTCTTCCAGAGCACTCACTACTGATGATATGCCCTGTTCTGTCCTTGGCCTTCACAGATGAAGAATAAGGCATGGGACCCGACTTTTACCGGAATGCTTTAAATTTCTGGCCTTCTCTTCAGAATTCTGGTATTTCGATTCCAGTTCCTTCTTATCTTCTTCCAGAAGCTCCAGTTGCTGTTTGAGGTTATGTATCTCTTTGTGCAGTGTCTCATTTTCTAGTTGCTCCTCTAATTCTTTGACCTGTAAGTTTTAAACACGCTTTAATGATTTAATACGCTTTCCTTCATCAAGCGAAAGACAAGGGAAAAATATTTTCATTTGACTTTGCTCTTCATAGCAGAAAGATTCCAGCCCATCTTACAATTATACAAATTCTAGATACAGATAATACTTACAACCATTAGAAACTCTTCAATTTAATAAATTTACTGGAGAGTTACACACACTAATTTTGAAACATGAGTCCAAAAGAAAAATAATACCTAAAAGTTCATTTAGAACAGATTAATACTTTCACAACTCATTTGCAAGAGAGTCAAGTAGTTAAAAAGACCCCCAACAGTCACAATTTATAGTAAGTGTCAAAAATACTAAAAAGAAAAAAAAAGTCGGGTATGGAGGTACACGCCTATTGTACCAGCTACTCAAGATAAAATTTTTTACAATGGAAAGAAAAGACCCTTTGAGATTCAATAACACTACTTTGAGAATGTCTTTTTAAAAATATTCTGGCAAATATACAAATGTATTCACTTTATGACAATGAAGAGCCAGAAATAACCTAAACGTCCACCAATATTATTGCTTTAATAAATAAGTCTGTTCATTAAATAAAATACTATATAATCATTTAAAATCACATCACTTTCTATTTTCTGAAATGTGAAGGTACATAGTATTACCAATTGGAAAAATTGAGCTTACAAAATAGTATGTATGATAAGATTCCAATTAAACAAATAAAAAATATATATTTATATATTTATATATATACATAAAGTTTTTTAAGTACCAAAGTAGGCATTCTTGACAATCTTAATTTTCTTCAAGTAAAGAACGTTTTGTTTTGTTTTGTTTTTTTGAGATAGGTCCCACTATGCAGTTTAGACTGGCCTCAAACTCATAGTGATCCTCCTGCCTCAGCCTCCTGAGTGCTGGGATTACAGGTGTGTGCTACTACACCTAGGAATTAAAACATATCTTAAGCCACACACATGAAGAATTACCCAGAATAAATGTATAACATACTATAACAGTTTAAGAAATAGTTATACCCATAATTGATAATTTTTATCTAATCTCCAGTACTTCTCCGCCTTCCCCAACCAGGGATATATATAAGAGAATTTAGTCCTATATTTCACTTCAACCAGAAGGTTCTATGTATGCATGCACGATTTACTAAATGAGTTAACTATGCATAGCCTGACTTTTCAGAACCAAAAATTAAACTCTAGCATAAGCTGAAAAGAAGCAATTCTTTTCTCTTAATTGAAAAATTAATTCCTGCACGCAAAGACAGAAAAAATAAACAAATCTTTTCCCCCTGCCTAGTTCCCTCGTCCTCTATCCCTGAGTCAGTCCCTGTTACCACCTGCTCGTCCAGAGGTTCTCTGTACGGGGATCAATGTTTTCTTACTCAGGAAACAAAACATCAGCTCAGCCTCCCCACAAACTGTAAAAACTTCAGAACTTCCAATATCATTGTGACACTGACAGCTAATAGTGTTTCCTCACAAATGAGGTCTACTGTATGTAACATAAACACGATGTTCCTTAGGTGGCCCCCTTAATTTGCAAGTCTTCTTTCTTCACCTCTTTCCACCTTTCCCACCTTTCCACTGTCCCCCAGCTAGTGCTTCTCAGCTACCATGATAACCATCCTTTCTGACCAGCACAGGGATGGACTCTGTCCAGGAAGAGCTCCACTCCTGCCTACTGAAATAACCATGGAGGAAGCACTTACGTAAAAAGCATTTCAATCAAACACATTTGCAGAACTTTGCACAATAGGAAAATTTCTCTAAGCAAATAATTACTATTGACATGAACTCTTCTCTCCCTCCCACTTTGAATAGGACCTATGCCCTCTAAGCGAGCTCAGAATAATATACACTCCTAGTGTATATAGTCTGTAAAAAAAAAAAAAAAAAAAAAAAAATCACAATTTCTCCAAAACTGATTTCTAGGCTATGTATTATCAGAGATATTTTGCTTCTTTCTTTTTGTTTCATTGTCCTTATTCAATGATCATTTTCAAGATCATTAAACAGTAAGTCTACAAGAGTGTGCCAGGCCAGGCATGGTGGCACACACCTGTAATCCCAGCACTTGGGAGGCTGAGGCAGGAGGATCACTGTGAGTTTGAGACCAGCCTCAGTTACAAAGTGAGTTCAAGGCCAGCCTAAACTGTATAGCGAAACCCTGTCTCAAAAAGACAAAAACAAAACAAAATACAATAGTATACTATAAATTTTAGTTGGGCAATAAGTTACACTCATTTGACAGTTATTTTTTTCCAAAAGGTGACTGGAAGTAGTTATTAACATGAAATATGGAACTTTTAAAAACTGTACCAATTCTTTTTGTTTGAAGTGTGTGTGTGTGTGTGTGTGTGTGTGTGTATGCATGCCTAGAATTCCGGAATAAAATCTGTTACCTTTTGCTGATGTTGAATTCTCTCTTCTTCAAGTTGCTGGATGAGTTTTGCATTTTCATCTAAAGCTTTCAAAAGCTGCTGGTCAGGGACAGCGCTCTGTAGCAGAAGGTGGCTTTGTCTCTTTAGCTTGTTTTGTTCTATGAACATCTGGAACAGTTAATCACACAAAAACATATATACCAATCTCCCATGTATCTCCTCAACTGCAATTTGAGCAAAAGGAAAGTATGCAGAGTTAAGATATCAAGGGAAAGTTTTGAATCATGAATAGTTTAAAGAGTAGTACTTGCTATGATTTCATTCCTAATTTTTGTACAATCTTCAGTACCTTCATTCCTGCTCCAAACAAGGTATGTATGTGTAATTTAATCCCACTCAATTTTTAATGTTATTATTGCTATAAAATACATTAACACTACCAGTAGTAGCTAATATGTATCAAGAACTTACCTTATACCAGGTATTCTATGAAATATTTTATTTGCCTTATTTTATTTTTTATATGCTTTATTTTAATCCTCACCTAAATCCTAATAACTTAAAACCTCTATGAATAGGTGACATTCATTAAATGATGATACAGGTGGTGGTAATCATTTTATATTCATTACCCTCAGAACAATATGTCAGGTAGATACTATTATTATCCCATTTTTATTGGTAAGGCAACTGAAACTCAGAAAGTTTAAGCAACTTTCCCAATGGCACACACAGGCAGCAAGACTAGGATTTAAACCCACAGCTGTCTGACTTACAAGCCCAAACATCTTCAGCTGGCTAATTTGTACTATTTACTAGCCTTAATGTTCTGTTTTGTACCGGTTTTTCTGAAGTGATGAAAGCAGTTAATAATAGGAAGGAAAGTGGTAGATGGGAGACAGTACCCTAATTTTCACTTTAGTCTCACAGTCTTACATGATTAAAATCATTACTTTCTAGTCACCTGTTATCTCTCTCCCTTAACATCATACCCAAGTTGGCCAGCAGCTGATTACAAGCATGAAGTGTTCTGCAAAGTTGTTTTACAAACTCTGAATCTTTCAGTTCACATTTTTAGATTCTTAACAGCATTTAATAATGTACACGGTCGCTTAACTATAAGATCTATACTATATAAAGACCTGCTGCAGAGCACTATGTATACAACTTAATTCATCCCATTTTTTAAAAAGCCAGCAAATAAAACTCAGGACAAAATAAATTATCTTCTAGCAACCTTCATATGGGAAGACTATGGCTTTAATGATTTATACAGTCCTTAAATTTAATCCTTGGCCAGGATTGATTTTTTAATCAAAATCAAGTCCTCAGTATAATATACAAAAATGCTCACATTTTCTTCCTAGTATGTCTTCCTACGAGGAAAAAACATTATAAGCAGCTTTTATTCTTTTGCTCACACAGGGATTTGTGAAAAACAAACAAACAAAAAAAGCTATTAAATTACAACACTGTTTTTCTACAAAACTAAAACACTGCAAAATCAAACAGGAAAATGAACAAGTTTATATAGCACATGAAATCCACATGCTCCTTCCCTCTGACTCCCTGGCTCTGCAGGAATGAGCAGCACCCACAGGCCAAGTATCCTGTGTGCACGGCCTGGGCTAGAGAAGGGGCCCAGAGGCAACAAGGTATCTCGAATTTAGGACCAATGGTACCTGAAATGAATTATTTTGACTTACCTTTCCTTTTTTGATGTTGCTGTTGTTCTTTAGAACTGGGGATTGAACCCAGGGACTTTGCACTGATCTATATTTGCAGCTCTTTTTATTGTGAGATAGGGTTTCACCAAGTCACTATGTTTCCCAGGTTGGGGTTGAACTTCTGATCCTCCTGCCTCAGCCTCCCAGAATGCTACAGGACTACAGGAATGCACCACCACACCTGGCCTAGTTTCTTTTTAGAGATTTTTCCGTTTTAAAACTTAATGAGCTGGGGTCCCGTGCCAGAGGCGGCGTAGAAAATACCACAGGGAGCTGTTGGGAAAGGCCTGCAAATAGCAGCCAAGGGAGGACCCAGGGGTTTCCTTTTGCCAACTGTGCTGTGGGCTAGAGCCACAGAGCCACGGCCGGGTGGTGTGTGGCCGTGTGTGGGCAGCACAGCCAGGCATGGTCCCCAATGCGGCAGAGAGTACCACACTCTTCCCTCCAGGCCTCTGGCTTTGGGCCTCTCTTGGGAAGAATGAAGAGTGCTTCTCTTCCTTGTGGCACTCTGGAAAATGTTGTCAGCGTTATACGGTCCAAATAATTACCTCCCGTGTTATTTTGGAGAAAAAAGATGAAAGATATATGACATCAAGTCTTAAAGGTGGTAATGTTGTGAATTTCTCTGGTAAAATCCCTTTATCAGTCCCTAACCAGTAATATTATGAAAGATGAGAGAATTTCCTTTCAAAAAGCAGGGGTTACTTGAAGAAAACTACTCATCATGTTACCTTCTCTAAATCTTAAAAGGGGAAAAAAAAAAAACCAAAAAACAAACCTCTAACTTTTCTTCTAAAGTTATCTCAAGAACATTTAGCCACCAGATACTGATGAATTTGGGTTTTTATCTATGGTAAGAAGTTGATCGTTAAAGAAATGAGTCTCTTAACAGATAAATAGCATCACAGGCATCAGGACTTCTGAGAAATTTTATCAACATTTTCAAAGAGTAACAGTGAAAAGAAAATCCTGTGTTGTTGATGTATCATTCATTCTTTTCAAAATAACACTCCAATATAAGTTATCATCAGAAAGGAAAGAACTGATTATGTAATAGTCTCATGGGTTATTAGGAATACATGTTGAACAGGGTATCTCTATCGTGATAAAAAGAAAAACTACACCGAGTAGCGAGAAAAAAGAACATTAAAAAGTGTAAGAAAGCCTCATAAGTAGTTGTGAAGATGCTGATAAAATTCCCAAAACCAGGTAGTTCTGGAGACAAGTGTTTTCTTGTTAAGGAGGGGAATCACATGTTTTGGTTCTGTTTTTTAAATGAACCAATATAAACAGGAGTAATCAACTTTCAACTTTTACTTCACACATTTGAGAATTGAATTTTTACATATATACACATGTATATATTCCTTTTCCAATTCCAAGTATGAATAAACTTTTAAGTGGCTTCTAAGACTGTAAGCTCAAAAGGGGAAGGGCCCACATCTGCCTTGCTCAGCCTTTGACTTCCCCTCTCAACAGTCATCAGATGCTGCTGCTTGTACCACGGACAAATGCAACACAGATGTTAAACTAAGTCATGTGACTTTTAGCCCCAGTTACCTGCTGAAAACCTGAGAATCAGCTAACTATGTATAAGGGGAAAAAAACTGGTTCCAATCCAGTACTAAATCTAGAGAGTGTACAATGACTGCAAACATTTGTGCTACCAGTAACAGAAGCGCCACTGCCCTGGCTTCGCCTCCTCCTTCTGGGTTAGCATGGCAGCATCCTTGCGCCAATCATCACCCATATTTAAGGCCCCACAAGGTGAACGGCAGAGCAGATCATTCACTTTCAGAACACTCTGACTGTATAAACCTCGCTTCTCCTATCTTCTCTGCTGCTGCATGGCCTTCAAGTTTTTCTTTGAGCTGCTTTGTCTTTCCTTGAGCTGCTTTGTCGATCATTGTGAAAACAACACACAGAAACTTGAAAAAGTCCTGAGATAAGACCCTGGCATTTAGGTCAAACTCAACCAACCTTTCAGTTTTGCAATGGCAGCATCTCTGCATTATTTCCAAGTCCCCTCTCCCTCCGCTGTTTAGCTGCAATATTTATAACCCCTGCAGCTTTATCCAGAGGGCTTTGACACACTTCAATTCTCTTTTCTTTCTTACAGGTAATAAGAGAACAGTATTCACTCACCTTTCATTAAACTCTCTGAATAAAGTGAATCATAGTATTTCCAATCAGATGCATTTGGACTAAACCTTCTGTAGAGTTCACTGCGAGCACTGCTATAGGCAAGCATAAAAAGCCCCATTCTACATACACAAAATGATAATGATTTGCAGATAGTCTCATAACACCACGTCTTTCTTCTACACCTTGGCTACCTCTCTTCCAAAGGACCATTTAAATGTCCCTAACTACTTCCTTCAACCCATACCATGCACCCAGATTCAAAACACTTATCCAGGATAAAGAGCTCACTGCAGACAGCACTGCACCTCACGTTCTGCCAACTGGTGACTCGTCATTGTCCTGGAAACCGGCCCCAGAGCCGTGACACCCAACACTACATGTCAACAAGGTAAGGTGGAACTGGAGAAGCTCAGTGCTTATCTCCGACATGAGAGGAAAATCATTACACTGGTGAAAGGCTGAGACAATGGATGTACAATGTGGCAATGTTCCCCGAGCAGGGTAGAATCAGCTGCACAGTGAGCACCAGACAATGGTCAAAGAGAAAGAAGGAAGCTGTGATCTGAGATGGCACGTGGGCTGTTTGAAATGGATACAACCCTTGTACTCCAGCCTGACTCTCCATCACGAGTTATGGGGATCTCTACATGCAATTCCTTCCCCCACAGGGCATTTTATCGTTTACAAAATACTTTTTAAAAATCATGTCATTTGATTCTGAAGTCTCCCTGACAATTAGTATCAACACCTAATTCCTCTGATGGCAGTGAAGTGTCAAGAGGCCAAGGGCTGCTCAGAGGTGACAGGACTAGATCTGACATGGCCAAACTCTGAACCCAGATCTTCTGTACCAGCTCTGGTGAACTTGTCCACTTGATACTATTCTGTAGCTGCCTCCCTAGCCTATGTTTTGTTTGTTTGTTTATTTTTCAATATTGAGGTTGAACCCAGGGTGCCATACATGCTAAACAAGCACTCCACCGCTGAACTACCTCCCCAGCCCTTTTAATTTTTTAAATTCTGAGACAAGATCTCACTATGTTCTCCAAGTTGGCCTTGAACTCTCAATCCTCCTGGTTCAGCCTCCCAAGTGGGGACCAAGAGAGCCTTAATTCAAACCAGCAAGTTTAAATTACCCAAACTCAAACAGCATTTTTATTTTTTATTCACACAGTAATTTTGAGTATTTATGGCCATACAGTATGATTAACTGATTATACATAATGTAATATATAGTGATCAACTGGGGTAATTAGCATGTCTACCTACTTAAATATTTACCATTTCTTTGTGTTGGGAACCTTCACACCCCTCTCTTCTAGTTCTTTATCAAATATATAATAGATTGTTGTAAACTACAGTCATTGTGCTGTTCTGTAGAACACTAAAACTTATTCTTCCTGACCTCATTAATTTTTTTTTTTCATTTGTCATTTGCAAATCCTATTAAGAAACAAAAATTTAAAACCAGGTCTCTCAACATACCCACCTCTTGTGCAAACGACTCTGCTTTCTTTCGAAGGTCCTTCTCCAGCTCCAGGTTTACCTGCAGCTCCTCATACTCTTCTACTGCCAGCATGGACACTTAAGAAGATGAGCCAAAGACATAATACACCATACAAATTATCAGGAAGAAGGATGGAAAGAGTACAGAAAAGTGTCTTCACACAGGCACACAAGCACCCCTGTCCATTCCTGGCAGGCATATAAACTGATAAAGCCTTTTTAGAGGGCAGCTGGGCAGTATGAATCAAGAACTGAGAACTATTTCTATCCTTTGACTCAACCATTCTACTTCAAGGAATGCATAGTCAGAAAACATAAACCACAGTGATACAGAGAGAAGTGGTGGCAAGGATGCTCTCGGCACCATCGCTGGAAATACTGAAATCACCTAACATGGAAGAACCAGTACACTGTAGTAAAAGAAATATTCTTCTGCCATCAAAATGATAATGTAAAAACATATTCAGTGAATGCAAAGAGCTTTCTGGTATGTTTTTTAAAAAATAAATGATTAGTGGACAGGGGTATAGCTCAGTGGCATAAGCACCTGCCTCATAAGCACAAGGTCCTGAGCTTGATCCTTGGTATCCCCCCGCAAGAAATAAAATAAAATAAATGAATTGCAAAAATCTGTGCAAAATAAAGTCATTTTTTAAAAAGCCACCAACAAATCACATCAACAGCATTTCACAGGACAGGAAATATGTGGAAGATCGATAAACATGTCAAAAGATAGTCACCTTCATTAGGGCTTAGGAAACACAAATATAAATACCTTTTTGTTTTGTTTTGTTTTGTTTTCTTTTTGTTTTTGTTTTTGTTTTCCCAGTACGGGGAATCAAACTCACGATCTCACGCTTGCCAGGCAGGTGCTGTGCCGCTGAGCTAAAGCCCCAGCCCATAAATACCTTTTAATATCCATAAAACAAGGAAGTGGTAAAAAGTAAGAAGCCTGGTTATATTAAGTTTGGAGAGTATGCAGAATAATGGAAACAAACATACTGCTAACCAGAACATAAACTGATGGACTGATTTGCTAAGTAATTTATGTAGTGAAACTGAAGATAAAATATTACAATTAGCACATGTCTAATGAAATTTGTGGACATACACCAAAAAACAGGTAGAATTTTCATGACACATGACTTAGATTAACAAAAAACTGGAACTAATTCAAATATCCAACAAGAGGATAATGGGTATACAAACCTTGGTACAGTTGTCTAATGGAATATAATACAGTAGAGAAAATAAACCTTCCACAACTATTCCCTTTAAAATGGAAGAATCTCAAAACATGAAAATTCTCAGTTCTATACAAAATTATTCCAATTTTATCAAGTTCAAAAACATGCATGATTAAACAATGCAATACTAGGGATAAACATGTATTTGGCAAAACTATAAAGGAAATGGTAAAAATTATAAGTAGAGAGGGATATTCAGGGACTTATAAGGCATCAGTAGATTCTTTTACTAATGTTCTTTCACATATATTATAAACATATGTAACAAACATTCAACATATACATAGCTTTTCTTCAGTTGGAAGAATATATGTTAAAATATTAATAGTACTCATCTCTGAACTTAAATATTAAGATTTTTCATTTCCTATACAAATTTAAATTTTCCAATAAAAACTGTATAATCTAATAAAAATAATACACATATTTATATGCACACATGGGTGGTATTTTTAAGTGTTCTCATGTTTACAAAAGACAGAAAGAGATTTGGATCCACTCAGGCCAAAAAGAAGAGCTTTGAACTAAAGACTTACTTCCTATAGGACAGAAACCTTCAAAGGGAAGGTCCTGTCAAATAAAACCAATGTGAATTCCTTGCTATTCTTGACACTCAGGGGCAACTCTGTCACGGGACGATACAGACTGGACAGAGTGATGATGCCGTTAGAGATGAGCACAACACGGGAAGCAGCGCACCGCGCGTCTGCTCCTGGTGGCTCCTCCATCCTCAGCTGAGTCATATCAGTACATCTCTCAAAGGCCCTCTTAATGGCTGCTTTCACACACTGTGCCGCCAGGGCACTTCAATCCTAACTGACTAAGGACTGGTTTGCTGTGTAATGACATAGAATTTGAAACTCTGCACTCTGCAAATCTACTGCCTCTTCAGACGAAAGACGAATAGTCTTACTCAAGGAAAGTAATGTAAGTGGTGATTTGTGTTGTGAATTATAGGTCCCTGAGAGCTAAATGATTTTTAAATGTATTTAAAAGAGAAATTTCATGAAGCAAAGAAAGACAGGAAGGACTATCTGAAACCCCAGGCAAGATAATTGACTTTCTTTTCTATGTCCAGAACACTGTAATAAAAAGTGAATTTTCACATGTCTGGGTCCCTTTGACTTGCAGTTTTGAAAGAAATCAGGTTGGGCCTCCTGGTGTATTTATTTACCTACCTGCTCTTTTCCTAGATCGGAGGCTCTCTGAAGGCAAAAGCCATGTGATTCACCTCTCTAGAACACTGTTTCTAGCACAGTGCACCTGGGCTACAAATTCTTCAACAAAATTCTCTCTATAAATCAAGTAGGACCCAAAGAAAAGCTACAGTCTGATGCAACTCTCACACACATAACTAGATAGTCTTTTATTGAAACTCCCAGCTAATGAACGATGCAATGATTAAGAGCTACCACCAATGGCAATGTGGAAAGCCTTGGGTCTGAAAGATTTCCTGTTAGTGTTACAGCTTCTGAGCTAGGAAATCAGTGGCTGGGAGAATAAGAGAGAAGCAGCACATTAAATCTCTGCTATGGTTTGGATGTGGTTTGTTCTACCAAAGGTGCATGTGTTGAAAGCTTGGTTCCACGTGGTATTAAAAAGTGGCGGTGGAACCATTAACAAGTGGGACTTGGTGTCAGGTAATTATGTCACTGTGGATGCTGCACAAAGGAGAAATTAAAGCTGGCTGTAGGGAATAGGCTGGTTCTCACTAGAGTGGATTGTTATTAAAAGACCAGGACTGGCACCTCCCTGGGCTCTGGCTTCCCATCTTGCTAGGTGACCTCTCCCTTTCAACCTGCACCCCTACCTTCATGCCATGTACTACGCTCTGACCCAACCAAAGGGGTCCTCACCAGAGTGAAGAGATGCTGGCACTGTGCTCCTGCACCTCTAAAACTGGAAGGTAAATAAGTATTTTTTTCTTTATCCAGTACCCAGCTTTGATACTTCGTTAAAGCAGCAGAAAAGGACTAATACAGTCTCTCCCCTTAGGATTACTTTTGCAGAACTGAACTTCAGCATTACTTCCCAAACTAACATGTACCAGAAGCAGGCACCACAAAACCTGATGCTGTGTTTTACAATAAGGATGATTTGGTTACTGTTTTTTTTTTTTTTTTTTTTTTTTTTTTTTTTTTTTTTTTTCTCCGGTACCAGGAACCGAACTCACGACCTTGCGCTTGCCAGGCAGGCGCTTTGCCGCTGAGCTAAATCCCCAGCCCCAAATTTGGTTACTGTTAACTGAATGACAGAGGTTTCTTTGGAAGTAGCCATTGGAGACATTTCCTTCTCACCATGAGACCAGGGCTGATCTTTCCGATCATTAGATTTGTGCTTATGTAATTGATTTAAATGCTCAATGAATCTCTCACTGTACTGGCTGCTAGAGAATAGACAGGCAGATTGCAGGCACAAAGGCAGGAACTCTGCAAGACTTCAGAGCAAGTACCATGCACTTGTATATTAATTTGTACTTTCACTTTACTTGGTCCCATTTTTCACTCCTCTTAATTTAAAATGTTTATATCGTGCTGCCTGGTTATGTAAATCGCCTAATCCCACCTGGATTGAGATTTATTAAATAACCTATCAAATACATAAATGCAGAGAGAATAACCAAAATGGCCACAGTCCCAGTATATACGCAGGACACAAGTAGTATTTATGTTCAAAGTTTCAAAGAGTGGGTTCCAAGTTCCTCAAGTGAAATCACTTTTGAATATCCTTAGTGAGAAGATAGTAGGAATCAGATTTACTGCTAAGAAAACATAATATTGACAATTTTGACCACAAGAATCTTTAAGCACAAGTAAAAAATGATACCAAACACATATAAACAAAACAAATTACATGAGTTTATAAAAAAGACTAGACAGACATACCTCTGTTGCATTTTTCTAAGACTTTTCTCTGTTCAAGAACTTCTGCATGTAAAACAGTTTTTTCTTGTTTAACTTTATTTACCTAAAAATGTAGGATTTTGAGAGGAGAAAACATGAAAATTGTAAGAAATGATATATAGTGATGTGTTATAGCAAAGGGCTGTTCAGCTTGCAACATGAAGTTACGATGTAAAGCAGAAAACAGCTCCCTATGCTAGGACTTCCTGAAAGCTCTTCACAGTTTCAAGGTGGCCCTTTAAGTTAGGGTACACATGCAATGCCCATCTGACTCACGTATTCCAGGTGGCACTGGTGTTGGTCTCTAAACACAGCAGCATTCTAGCCATCAAGCACCAATGATTCTTTTTTTTTAAAATACAAAAATCCAACCATAGACCACAAATAATTTGTCAGAGATCTAATACTAGATTTGGGGATTCACCTTAAACTTTGATGGCTTATAGCCTAAGTAAAGCACACATTAATTTCTAAAATTAAAAAAAAAAAACAGTACTTTAAGCTTTTATGACTTTTAGCTCAAATAAAATAGATATGAAAGTGTCCCTCCAAAATATAAATTTCTGAAACAACCTTTGCCATCAATCAATAGAATGCCATTAGACCATTTTTAAAAATAAGAATGTAAAGTCACACAGGTCAAAGTGGATAAATGTCAAATACATTATGCTGAATTTAAAAAGAAGGTACATTTACAGAGTCTAAAAACACTCAAAATAGTATGTATTGTACTAAACGAGCAAATTCATACTTTGGAAGGATAAACACCAAGTTCAAAATAACAGCTGCTTAGGGAAACTGGGCAGGAAGTGAGGAGAACACAGCTGGGGAGAGGTTTGCCAAGGTTTTCTTAAGTACGCTAATGGCTTATGTATTAAGCTAAGTAGTAAGTATATGAATGTCCACTATTTTGTATTTAGACCCTTTCAAATTTCTGAAATGGCTATAATAAAAATAATCTCAGAATTGCCTTCCAATAACCTCTAAGAGGGAGATAAGCAAATTATCAGTAAGTTATCATTACCGAGGAATAAACCACATCAGATGTGTTATTTGTCCCCCTTAAGGTTACACTCAAGAAACAAACTAAGACGATATTCCTGAATGTGCTACCAGCACATCCAGACAACCTGTGAACTGCTTTCCCTTTTTTGTTTTTGCTTCTGGTTTAAATAACTGATACACACTACACAACAGTATCGTCCCTTCTGAGGTATCATCGTCCGTCTTCCCATTCATTATGTCATTCTGCTGCAATAACGCAAAAGCAGCTGGACCTGGCAGGTTGGTGGCCACCACTTCCTATGCTTCTGTACACCCTGCCCTTCAAGGAACTGAAATCTGACGGAAGGAAGGAAGGTGACGAGGCGAGGCTGCTCACTGGGGGATCAATACCTGCCCACTTCTAAGCCCTTTGAAGTTGTCCCCGGGGTGCTACTGTGCATCAGTTGAGAAGTTCTGGGTCACCAAGTATGACCACCACAGGTACAAGTCCAATCAAGGTCATGAAGACAAATAAAAGGAAATTGTGTGGCCCTGTTCTTAAAAACGGTTCAACACAAACAAGGGAAAACTCCAAATCCCTGCTTGAACTCAGGCTACCATCGAACCAGTGTGGCAGGGACACAGAGGGACAGCCCCTCCCCGCTGAGCCAGACATCCACTAGACAAGCAAAATACTCTTCTTTTTTTGCCAGAAACAGTAAAAGTTTACGGCTTTAAAACGTAGCTACCATTCTACCAATCTGCATCTTACAGGAAAAAATGGGGGACAGGGAGCAAGTGTTTTATTTAAGCTAAGTAGTGGGCATGAATATTCATGATCATATTTTCTATACCAGTGATGGCAAACCTTTTAGAGCATTCAATGATACAAACAGCCTGCTGGCATGTGTGCCATAGGTTCGCCGCCACTGTGCTGCACTGTTCTGTCTATCTCGGGGAGGGGGGATTAAAATTGGTACATGGGCTTCATGTCAAAAATTAACCTCCAATAGCAAATTCTTAACTCTGTCAGCCCCGAAACTGGCTCTGTGATTGAAACCATTAAAGGCTTTGCTTTTCTGGCCTAAGATACATACTTCTTCCATTACTTCCACAAGTTTGCTCTTGAGATTTTCCAGCTCGATGGCCAATATCTTCTTTTCCTCCTGAACAGATACAATTTGATCTCGAAGTTCTGCATTTTTTTAGGAGAAATAAAAAAAATAAATAGAAAGAAGCTTATTTTTAAAAGAAGAAATCAACCTGTTCAAAAGAATTGAAAATGCCAGTCCATGTGTAGCCTATGGTCAAGGTTACTTAACAATTAAAAAGACAGTCAAGAATCAAAGGACAATAGGAACCTCACTTGTGTGCCATCTACCCCATGGAGCCATGGTTATTAATAACTTTATACCAGGCAATCTTATCATGTTAAATGAATCAGACTGAGTTTCCTTTGCAATCTATCAAACCCACACTCTAGAAAATTATCTGGCATTTGAGAAGTAAAAATTTTAAGCTTTCAGTAAAACAAATTAAGGCATTGTACTAATTTCTTTTTTATTTCAAAATGGCCATGGGCTCTTGTCACAATACAATATAAACAAACAATTGGGCAGTTAATAATTTGGAGAGTTTGATTTGAAGAAAAAAATCTTGACTTGCTGCCAATTTATAGCCCTTAAACATTATTTGAACTGACTCAAAACTATAAAGAAGGGTTAATTCCAGTAATTTTCTCTCCAGAGTTGTGGGTGTTTTGTTTCTTAATTTATTTCTATTTTTATTATTGGAAATTTTAATGAAAAATGTGTTGCTAGAATGAAAATATTAGCAACTCTAAATACAAAAGGTTCTGGTGTTAAATTACCTCTGCCATTCCAATATTTAAAAATAAACATAGATTAGCATGGACTACGTTCATTTATACCCAGGCCTACTGTTTTGCCACTTCATTTTGAACTGTTTTAATTTCCTATCTTTCTCCAGGGCACTAAGTAATCTGCTATATAGTTATTTATAAGTTGAATTAAACTTTTTACATGGACGCAGCTTGAAGAAGTTCTCAAAGACTTAGTTTTAAAGCACTTTGTCCACTGGCTGACTAATTCCACAAGGAAGAACATGAGACCATATTGCTCAAGACCTGACAGAAGGGAGAATAAGGAACAGAAGGAAATTCTTTAAACTTCCTCTCCCTCCCAACCAACGTAAATTCTATTCTGTCTTAGTATAAGGAGTTAAAGAGTCAGCTAAAGTTGACGAACAGCTTTCTTTATGCTATCAACTAAAATTTTATGTAGCAAATAAACTAGTAAGTACTAGTTTTGAATGTGTACTAAGTCAAATATTCTAAGTTATGGAGCTCAAACATCTTTAACGTAAGCAATGTTAAGTGTAAATAAATAAAAGTAATGCACGTTGAGCAGGTGAGTCATATAATCCTACCCTACACCACTGCTTGGCAGCCAACAGTTGTTAAATACTGACTGTTGCTTGCAGTTCATTGCCCCAATCAGATGGAATATTCTTGGAGAGCAGATACTCCCCTTCCCTCCAAAGAATCCAACAGAGAACCAAACGAAAAGGGGTGTTGGCTACATACACACATACACATTTGGTGCTGAGGGCTGAATCCAGGAAGTCACACATCTAAATTCACACTGTACCACTGAGCTGCACTCCCAGGTCCCCAGCCCTGGCTAACTATGTTTTTATCCATTCTTTTTTTGCTTAACAAAACTATCTTAACACACGATCCACATTCTTAAGGTTACGGTCTGACTACTTCTGTTGAGACAACACTTTCAAAACTGCCTAATTCCAGACAAGAATGCACCTCATAAAGAACAAGTGCTATCACCTTGATTCTTACCCATGCTCCCACCATGGCAATTAAATCGAACTTTTTGATGGCAGGACCCAGGCGGACCCTGAGGAGTAAAAGCCATGCACAGTAACTGACCCACGAGTCTCACCTTTGATCTGCTTCTGACACTGTACTGAGATACAAGTCTCGGCGGCACTCTCTGTGTCTGTGGTGGCATCTTCATCATCGATGTTTATCTCTTCAGTTATTACATCCGGTCCCAGCTTGGCCATGTATAACATGCTGATTCTCTTCAATGTTTTATTTTCTTTATTGAGCTAAGACAAAGTATAAAAACGGTTATTTTAACAGCAGTTAAATGAGCACCTTGGATTTTTAAACAATAGACAAATTAAGTGTATTTTTGTCTTACAAATTCACCAACATTCACAGCAGGACATAACAATGATCAGATTCAGGGGCTGGGGATTCAGCTCCGCGGCACAGCGCCTGCCTGGCAAGCGCAAGGTTGTGAGTTCGATTCCCAGTACCAGAAAAAAAAAAAAAGAAAGAAACTAAAGATGGAACAATTATCAGATTCATAACATAAGGTCTTATTCGCATATTTTAATGTTAAGAGTATAACTTTACGTGAGCCCCGATGCCTGGATTATAGCCTGCAGCAAGGAGAAATGCAAGGTAAAATTGATAAGAAATGTAAGGAATTAAGATAAAACACCCCGTATTTCTAGTCACTTGTAGTCTTAATACAGGTTTTTATGTCAACAAATGCTCAGTTTGATGCTATGCTAAGAAGACTTCCTAAATGTCTGTTTGCCCAGCATCCTTCTCTTCTGGACATTATTACTCTTCTTCATTGCTTACCTGATTTCTATGAGGAGAAGCCCCCTCCCCCAAGCGCTCCCTACACCACCAGTCACAGTTAATAGAGCCAGAGATTAGGCACATGACCCAGGCTTGGCCAATCAGAACTCTGCTCTAAAAATTCAGAGTTAGAACAGAGACATGAGTTTCTCTGTGTCTGGATATATAGGAGATGCTGGCAACCACACTTCTTTACTGAGTTGACAAAGAGAAGCACGTAGTCTACAGCAAAGCCAAAAATGAAGCTGATGTGCACAGAGATGCAAAAAAATGAAAATATCAGTGAAGAAAGGGGGTAACGGGCATACACAGCCAAGCCCAGCATCTTTTCTGGCTCAGCCAGTTCAAGAAGTGTTTCTGCTATGTGTACAGAGTCCTAATAATATACAACAGAAGAAAGTTCAAGATCTATTCCTATTGCCTCTACAAGAGTTCTAATTCATAGCAGCCAAAAGGAATCCTAATTTGTTAATTATTTGTTGTTCTCTGGTGTAGGACATGAGTGGGTTTTCAGCTTTAGTTACTCAACTATGATCACTCTCTTTAGCTAACATGTTTATGTACATAAAAATGTAGTAAAAAATATATGCAAAAACCAAACTTGCTCCCATGTCCACAAAAGGAAAATATGGTCTTGCTTATGTTTTTTGTTCCTAAGCCTTAAAATTAAAAGGTCTTCTCTTACTCAAGCAAATGAAACTGGTTAGTACATGATTTTTCCTAATATAAATTACTGAGCTATAAAAATACAAATGCATTTCTTTTACTAAAGCCACTGACCACCAAGACAAGCTCTGAATTTAAGAATGACATCAGAAATAAATGCAAAGAATCCACCGGTAATACAACTATTCTTCCTTACTGCAAACTTTATACCAGAAGATGTTCAGAATGGTACCTGTGTGGCTGTGGCTCTTCACCTGTGATCATATTAGGGCTCTTTAGGGTTTTTTCACAGGCTACCTCAAGCTGAAAAATCTCATCTGTATCCCAATAATGCAGAGCCTAAACATATCCCAAGGGGCATGGTCTGAGGCCTAAGAGGTTTTCCTGACCTCTGGAGAATCAGGAATAATCTCTTAGAAATGACGATGACCCCTTCCTTCTTGGGAAAACAGGAAAGCTCTACTCAGGGAATCAACAGCCTTTTGTTCCCCTTCCTTTCTCTTCACCCAGCTGTTACGATCCCATGTTGCACTAGAGGATCCAGGACACGAGAAGAGGGCCATAGACTCCCAACCCTCTTCCATAAAATGGAAAACTCTAGTAAACAATGCTTTGGGTTCTTTGACAGTATGGCCTTCCAAGAGGCTCCACGACCCTTCTTGTCAATTCTCAAACTATGCCATCTCTTCTGAATGAAACACCACTTTAGCAGGAAAATGTAAAATTTGTAATTCTGTCCCCCAATATTTAAACTAATAGTTCCCAACTCTGCACATCAGCATCTCTGGAAAGCTTTTTAAAAATCCCAATGCGGGGCTGGGGATTTAGCTCAGCGGCACAGTGCCTGCCTGGCAAGCGCAAGGTCATGAGTTCAATTCCTGGTCCCGGAAAAAAACAAAACAAACAACAACAAAAAAATCCCAATGCTTCTACATCTACATCACACCAAAATCCCCGGCCATGGGGGCTCCCATAAAAACCTTCTCAGAGCTTCCCAGGAGACTCTGATGTACATCAACACTAAATATCACTGATGCTGAATAACAGGATGCTTTAGTACACAGCCAGCTCTGCAGTCAAATTCTGTCACTAGCTCCAGAACCAACCTTCCAATCTCTCAGTGTCTTGGTTTCCTCATCAGCAAACTAAGGATAAAGGTAGCTGCTATCCACAAATATGAAGAGTAAATGAGACACTGCAGAAAAGTCCTTAATACAGTAGCTGACATATAGTGAAACTTCAGCAGGTGTTAGCTATTAATAGCAAGAAGTGAGGTTTATTTTGTATATCTAATTATCCTCTGGAAATCAATTTTAGCTAGCTTTCTTCCACCAAAGTTATGCATGCACACATTTTCTTCTTCCTCCAGGATACTCATGAAAATACTTACTTTTTCCATCTGGTGCTTAATATATTATTTCACAGACCACCATCACAATAATACTTGATAGTTAATAATTCTGCTGGGCGAGGTGGTGCACACGTGTGATCCTAGCCCTCAGAAGGCTGGGGCAGGAGGATCATCACAAGTTCAAGGCCAGTCTGGACTACACAGGGAGTTCAAAGATAGCCTGAACTACATAATAAGACTCTGTCTCAAAAAAAAAAAAACAACCCAGAGGAACTAGGATAGTTAACGATTCTGCCCTTAGCAGAACTTAATGCCTCTATCAGTCTAGGCACCAAAGTCCATCAGTTGCCATCTATATGCAGCACAACCACCCTAACGCATTCATTCATTCATTAAAAGAAAAACCAACCAGAAAATGTGTTTAGTCTTCTCTGAAACAATATTTTCACATTTTGAAAGGATAAATGGAAGATTTATATACGTGAACCCTTGTGCAAGTACTATGTTTCGACATTTCTGAGAATTCCGGATTCACAAATTTTAGCTGAGCAATTTCATCACAGTTATTCATCAAGTTACAGGTAATAGTATACAACCTGTTGTTTGGAACCCTTCTAAGTTACCAGGCAAAATAAATTTTTTATGACCCTACAGCAACTGAACCTACTACTACATTAAACTTTAAGTGGCTTTTACATCGGGCATTTACATTTAATGAATATATAAAGAAACAAAGTCAGCAAATTAAATAGCTTTAGATCATATGACTTAAAACAATTGGCCTATGTTTACCAGTTGAACCTAGGTATCTTAGCAAAGCAAAGTATCCAAACTTGTTTTTAAGAAAATTATGAAGTCAGTGGGGCACAGTGGTACACACCTGTAATCCCAGCACTCTGGGAGGCTGAGGCAGAAGGACTGAAAGTTTAAGCCCGGCACGGGCAACTTAGGGAGTTAGGGAGTCACTGTCTCAAAAATAAAGGCAGAGGAAAGGCTGGGGATTAACTCAGTGGAAAGGGTCTGGGTTCAAGCCACTATTCTGTACAACTGAACCACACTAACAAATTTTTTTTTTTTAACAAATTTTTTAAAACAGAAAATTATGAGATTGAATTGCACCAGAAGAATTAAATATTCCATCTGTCATTAATTTGATGGCAAGGATAGAGAAAAATAATTTACAAAAACTCTGCTGTTCAGAACATGAGGCCTACTTTCAAAAATGATAACTGATACCTAAAACAAAATGTGTTGTTATCACTTAAGGATCACATATATAATGAAGCTTCCAAATTCTACATTTAAAGCACATCTGTAGCTTCTGACTCAGTTTTTGTTGTAGTTGTTGTTTGCTTTTTTATTTCAGGTCCCAAGAGTTCATACTGCATCCCCAAAAAACAATTAAGGGCTATCCTGTAAAAAGAAAAGTCCACCCCAGTGTTACCCACTGTCACACCAGTCCTAACCATATTCCACAAATGGCACAACCAGGAATAAAATTTGTTTACATAGCTCCCCTACACCTTTGCTTCCCATGAGCAAACTCAGCCTATCCCAAGAGGTGCTCAGTGTCCTACAAGGTTTCCTTTTGCAATAGGAATTTGCTGATAACAAAAGAAAATACTGAAACTATCCGTAGGCTCTAGAAGCCTTGAGAAACCAGTCTGTTCCTAATACATTTTTTTTCTCTTCTTGTTCCAAAAGAAATAAAGAGAATTTATATAACGTTACAGATTGCTGAACTCCAGCAAGGTACAGCAGAGTAAAAAGGATGTGACAGTCCCCATGCTATCACTGCTTTTAAAGCTATAACCTATATTGCTATATATCTGCCAGGCAAGTAATAGGAGAAAAGTTATACACCTGCATTTATATTCTTAGTTAAGTCCTGATTGACTATCTTATGAATTCTAATGCAGTGTCGTTATGCAAACTATTAAACCAATACCTATAGCAAGCACACTTGCTAATGCATACACATTAAATTTATTTATTTATTTATTTATAGGTAGTAGCATTTCAGTCACATCCAAAGAAATACTTCGGAGGTGGGTGATGGTGTGTGGGGGCGGAAAAAGAAATACAACCAGCATTCCTAATGAAATTTGGTTGAAAATTGCAGTAATCCATTTTCTGATGAAGTGGTTCAGGTGCATTTTACCCAACCCAAAATACATAAGACAGAGATAAAACATTCTTTAATAATAATGTACTTCTGATGAGACAGAATATAGAAAATTACACACTTGATAAATTCATCAGCTAGAAGCAATCAACGGCGCACTGGAGGTCACCTTCACATGCCCTCACTTTGCTTTCACAAATAATCACCTGAAATGCAAGCGCTGAGACTGACTTTTTCATCGGACTCAAGCACAAAACCTTCACTGCTCTTTTATGTCATATGAGGTTAGTTTTCAACTTGGTTAAGATTTTAACTAAATGCAGGGACATTTGGGGGCCATTTCTCACAGGCAAAAACAAAAACAGAAAGCACAAATGCTGCAACACACACATATAAATGCTTCTTTTACCACTAAAATGACCTTTACATTAAGGCAGATATTTACATAATCATATTCCAGGATTCTGAGACTAACAACCCTTTCCTCATCAGCAGAGTGGAAAAGTGATTCAATGAGAACTAGAAAAGCAAAACAGGATAGAAGCCACTCTAGAAAAGCAAGTTGAAATAAAAACAGGCTCAGGTAAAATCCCTTCATCTGAAAAGGCTCACCTTTGTTGCCAAAGCTTCAGCACTTTCTCGACAAGTCTTCTCTATTTCAAGATGGTTCTGCATGAAATTAACTTCCTCTATAACCATGTGAGAAACTAGGAATGAAGGAGGAAAAAAAGGCTCAGCACACAGAGATTAGTCAGCTATTCCAGAAGCCCACGCATCGTCCCATGATTAAGAATACATCAATTCTTTCTCTAGCCAGACCTTTAGCCATCACTGGAAAAAAGTTTTTAAGAAGTTGTCCTGATTAAATCTTAGCTAATATTTCAATGTTGAAAGAAAAAAAGAATACAACAAAGAAGCTTCACCACCGTTACCTACATTTTGGAAAGTTATTTAGGAGATTTTAAGTCTCTGCTTTCTATGTAATTATATATGCATCCATAGATATGTATTTATTCATTTAAACAAAAGACTCTCCCATAACTAAAGAGTGACAATATGTCTTCCTTTTTAAGGAAAATATAACTATTTTCCTTTTCTTAGGAAAATATAACTATTTTATATATTATACATAGATATAATGAAGAAAATTAGCTAATACAAAATAAAAGAAAAATAAATCTTCAACTGATCTTATGACTAAAATAACAATGAAGCAGCTTAGGGAACTATTACAGTATTAGTCTTTAACCGTGACAAATCAGTTAGTGTTATTTTATAAACTCTAGCGCAGAGAAGTATAGCACTGAGACGTACACACTATGGTGTGTGATGATAAAAGCAAATATTGCTAAGTTGTTTCTTGCTTCATAGACTGTCAGTAAGATGACAAGAAAAACTAAATCTTGATATTTTCCCATCATTTGAAAGATTAACTTTTTGGTAGCTGGTCCATGTAAATTGAGACTCAAACATACAAAGTAACTTGAAACTTGAATTATATTTTGAAGATCAACTAAGAAAGGTACCAACTTCTCTAGGAAAATTCTTGGAATCGCAAACCTATCTGCAGACATGTAAACTTATTGACATTTGTTTGGCTTAAAAAAAAAAAAAAAAAAGTTAAAGAACACCCAAAATGTGAAACCCACCAAAGTTAGGCAAAAAGCACTGGGCTCACATAACACAAAGAAAGATTACTTTTGCTTCATTTAAGCTTAATTAACCTGCAATTATGATTAAACTCAGGGGAAAAATTTCTCTCCAAATTAAATACAAAAATATATTACTTCCTAAGTCTGTCCAAAGTTCTTATTATGTTAATATTCAAATTCATAAAGCAGCACTAAATGGCCAGAAACATCTCTAACCTTGACATTTTTTCAGGGGTAATAATAATCTGCCGCAAATGCAGGCCAACCAAAAACCACTTAACTAATTAGTAGTTGCAGTCACCGAGAAAAACATGAATCAACACTGTTATTACAAGTGGCACATTTGAGTGGCATCTAATTATGACTTGATGAGCACGATACTTGCATTATCAACATTACTACTGCATCCCATCAGGGCCTAAAAGCTGCTGATGGCATTGACTTCGAGAAACTCCCACTCAATGGTACAGCAGCACCCAACAATCGGCTTGGCAGGGGCCCCCCTCACTAAATGACACGTTAAGCGTAATTACTGGTAGACATTGTAAATAAACAGGATTGGAAGTGAAAATTGTACCAAGTGCCTAAGACACAATCTGACACATTGGAAGTGGCAGCCTTAATTGAGAGTTTCTTTGACTGCTCAAGATCATTTCAACCGCATTTCTCAGAGGACAGTGATTATAACTGTGGAGACAGACGGCATAATGGTATCAGCACTGCTGACAGAGCAGTGAATTAAATTGTATCTGCTGTGGTGTGAAAGCCTTGATGAGAGGTACAGATGCCTTAGTGGTCTTATCATTATAACACAATGGTCATGTTGTCATCAACCTTTCTGGCTCCAATTGAAAAGAAATGATTGTGTGTTGAAGCTCCCCCCCCACCACCACCACCCCCCTTGTCCTCTTCTATCTCTTGTTCTGAATAGAACCAATTTTCAGAGAGCTATGAAATCACGCAATAGGTCCTAAAATGCAGCTGCTTGGCATACAAACGGGTCCCCATTAAACTGGAATCACACACAATATGTGTTTATGCCAGAAGAACAAATAGAAGCTGAACACAGGCCAAGTTCATTCACACACACAAAGCCCATGTAGCTCTTCATCAATATAATTGCCTTTTATATTGTAGTTTAAATAATAGGCTCTATTATTTCCTTAAAATCCTAATATTCCTGGCATTTTATCACTATGTTTACAAGGTAGGTTCTTCAAAAAATGTGAAGGAAAGAGAAAAGAAACCTATACAATTTTTTACAACATCAAATATTACTTTGAATTTTTAGCCTTAACTACTTGACATCTTCTGCCACAATCTGGTATTTCTACTCTGATAACAAAAACATAAACACTCTGCATTTTTCATAGGAATTTGACTTTTTATTCAATAACATTCTTGCTCATGAAAGAGTAAGAAAAATCATTCTGTGGGTAGTGAGATTCAGGGCTTGCAAAATCGGGGTGAGGGGACACATTTATTTTTTAGGCATTTTGTAAAAAGCTGTCCAGTGATTTAACTAGATAAAGTTGGCTAGGGAGTACCTGCCCACATGTTCTCCAGTTTTGATGTGGTATACTCCATCAGGTGGGGTTTTTACTCTTTCCTCAAAGAGGAAATAGTATATTCTGGAAGTTTGAGGAGGAGAATCCTATATTCAAACCCAGCTTGGGCAATTTAGCAACTTAGCAAAACTCTGTCTCAAAATAAAAAGCAAAAAGGGCAGAGGATGTAGCTCAGTGAGTAGGCCCTGGGTTCACTCCCCCATTACCACCAAAAACAGGTACAATACACATTTTAATTGTACTTCCATTTTTAGTTTAAGAAATTGTCCCATTGCTAAATTGATAGCATAGGTTCTTATCAACATTCTAGGTTCTAAGGCCATTTATATCCTTAAAATGTGTGCCCCATTTCCAAACACAGAAGTCAGCTCACATGATGCAAACAGAAATATTTTTGATGTGTAATTTTCAGCTTTCAAAGAATAAAGGTTTTCAAAACCTTAGCAGTTTAATGATTTTTTATTAGTGCATGTTTACAGGACATAATGACTATATTCCTTGTGAGGGGCCGCTACATGCACTTAACATGTCTTAATTCTCTTTTCATCCCCTTTTGCACCTCTCTTTCCCCCATCCCTCCACACCTTGGTAATGATTTGCTTTATGGAGTTAACTTTGGGCTTACATCATAATATCCATGATTCATGGCCACTATATCTATGACATTTGCACTTCTGAGCGGCATGGGGTTGAGAAAAGAAAAAAGATGAGCTTTAAGTAAAGGGACTCAATACTGAAGTTTTAAAAAGAAAAGCCAATCTTCTAGAAATTCATAATGAAATATTTATAACCAATACTAAAATAATGACAAGTACTAATCTTAAGGGAACATGAGTTCAGTAGGAATAGGTGTGGAGGCCTGACTTAATAATTACTGAAACCGGCTGAGAATCTACCAAGGTTCACTGTACTAGTTTCTCACTGTGAAAGAAATGTTAAAGATCGGACTATGTGTCCGGCTTTGTGCTAACCCCGTGACCTGGGTTCCTCTAGGAAACCTCACAGCGTTCTACAAAGTAGGTCTCGTAACAGTGTTGTTTTACTTGGTAACACTGAGGCCCAGAGGAGTTAAGTAACCTGTCCCACATCCGAGAGCCCTAACTTCTAAAGCCCGGCAAGCCCATTTCCAGGTGAGTCCAGGTTTCCACAGTCTTTTTAATTTGTGAAAGGTGTCACCACCAATGGATGATGCTTTCTGAGCAAAACTCTTCTCCACTTCCCAGGAGTGCAGAGATACCGGGTCTCTCTGAAGCGGACACGGTGAACACAGCACAGATTCCTCTTCAATGCCAGACGACACAGAAAGCATTTCACGTGCTGAGGAAACAGCTGGGAAGTTGGCACACCTGTAGGAAAACCAGTGTGCCCTGAAACAGAACACAGGATCGAATGCGTAGGCTTAAGCATATTGAAAGGATTTTGTTTAGTTCTCCTTGCACAAGACTCTGGTTTTCCAGATGCATGGCTTGCTCTACAGTGTTCTTTGTATAAAGGACTAGGCAGTTGGGGTGGGGCTGACAGAGGACTAAGAATGACATAGAAACATATGAACCCTAGGAAAAGCCTGCTAAGCAGAGAGAGAAGAGCTCTTTGGCCTGACAAAGCTCTTCCTGAGCCTTACTCAGCTACACTCACCAGGGAAAGGCCTGATAGGTACACATTACAGGGATTTCAGATTCCAACTTTGCACCATAAGAGACTACGTCACCGGGCTCTCCATATGTGCAGGATCATACACAGGATGCGCTTGATAAAGGCTAATGCTATGAACTCCTTACATTGAATGGACCCTGACAACCCAATAGGTAGGACAGTGGCAGCAGCAACTCCCATCTTCATTAAGCATTTACTATATGCCAGGTACATGTGAAGCATGTTTCACATAGATTAATCCCATTTTTAGCCTCAAAAAATCCATAAAGCAGGGTCATTTATCCCAATGTCACTGATGAAGAAACTTGCCCAGGGTTCTATGAAGCCACACCAAATGTTTTCTATAACCATATTCCCTTCCAGATCTGAAATTCTACCATCTGCTCAAAAGCTATGAACCTTTCACCTCAGATGCAGTTTTTAAAGAAGTATCTAGCTTTCTTACTCCCCATTTTCCCTTTCCTTTGAGACTGAGTACTCTGTTTTTCTGTCATGCAAACTTTAGTTAAGCAGGCTTGATAAAGGTAAAAGTTCAATGTGTACAGCAGAGAACGTTGCACTAACCTTCCTATTAATCCTTTTGGGTCCTAACCTGAGTTGCTGGTAAGGAAAAAAAAATAGTAAACTTTTTCAACTATCCAAGGTATTTAGAAAAGAGACAAAGGAAGAAGGCGAAGAGTAGATGGACATGCAGTTTATATGTTACTTACAAAGTTCTGGGGAAGTAGCTTCCATTTTTGAATAATATAGAAGGCAAAATCCCTACCATCTACCTAAATGAAAGCATTTTATACTAAGTCCACCCATAAAAAAGTGAACTATCCCCATGGGCACATAGTATACTGATCCACCATCAATAGATCAGGCACACTAATTGGTAACAACCGCAAGAGGCTTGCTCAGAGGCAACGGGTGTCAGCACAAATGTAAGTATATTCCATGAATCCCGCTCTCAGGAAGGGGAAAGTCCCGTACAACTACAACCAACACATTCACAAACAAGAGATATTCCTACCATAGCACAGTGTCCTCCCAAGATAGGTAATATCAGCAGTATTACACTTAGATTTTCTTTGTGCCAGTCAGATGCTGAAATAAACTGGCTATTGAAACTTAACTGTAATGTTGCATTTTATAGCTGTTGTACCTTCCAGAAAAGTAAAAATGGTCTCTTGTGTAGTTACCAAGTCAACACTTCATGATATTATCAAATAGCCTGCCTGATACAGCATCTGCAGAAAGACAGAGAAAGGCCATGCTTCCAAGGGAGGGAGTCACTCCCCAGTACAGTCTGGCTCTTTGCTCATGACTTACTTCCATCTGACACTTCTGGGTCTGATCAGCTATGTTCTATCTTCGGGGACAAATAACAAATTTGTGTCATATAAAGCAATTACAGGGGGCTGGGGATTTAGCTCAGCGGCAAAGCGCCTGCCTGGCAAGCGCAAGGTCGTGAGTTTGGTTCCTGGTACCAGAGAAAAACCAAAAAAAAAAAAAAAAAAGCAATTACATAGCAAAAGTTTAGAAAAAGGTTATTATAGCTTTTGTGTGAATATAGTGTTCCTAGGTGAGCGATCTATTTCAAACATTCAAACTCTTAAAAATGTCTAAGTTCTGTGAACTATAGCTGTGCTTCTCTTTTAAAAACCATTTAATTGAGGCATACCTGACAGGCAAAAAGCTGTACATATTTAACACATACAATGTGAAGAGCTTGGAGATAAGTATATACTCGTGGAACCACCACCACCAAGGCCAGTCATATCCATCACCTGCCAAAGTTTCCTCCCACCCTACTGACTTATCTACTTGTTTGTTTATTTGCAGCACTAGGGACAGAACTCAGGGACTCACACATGCTAGGCAAGCACTCAGCCACTGAGCTATGTCTCCAGTTTCTATTTATTATTTAAAATATTTAATATAAAATCTACCCTCTTGGTACATTTTAAGTACTAAGTTGATACCTCAAACCTGCATCGTAAAATTCAAGTATAATTCCTTTCTTATGAATTCACCTAGAAAACTAATCAGATCACTGTAAAGCTACATATATATATGTATATAAATACTTTCTATGGGGCATTATTTATAATAGTTAACCAAAAATTGATCCATAAAGGAGTAAGTTATGGTACTGTTGTATATCAGAATACTATGGGCAACAAGTAAAACTAATGTATACCTCTACTGCCATGCAAAGAGGATAATATACTATCTACTAAAAACGGCAGGCTACAAAACTGAATGCAAAATATATGCCTTCAATAGAAACATATATTACTCAAATGAAAGACCAGAAAGCATAGATTACAAAATACTATCACTGACCCTTCTCAAAGAGTCAATGTAACAAAGTAAAATTATTCTTCTTTAATTTCTTGCTTAGTAATGTTTTCTTATAACAAGAAGGAAATTTTTAAAATAATACCCTCATAAAACAATAATGCTTATTCCATTCCTTTAAAAACCACACTAATGCCAGGGCCTTTCTTGGGCAAACAAGAAGACAATTTTCGCCTCCCGGGTTGTATGACCAATGCATCAGCAACGAAACAGGACATCTATGTACTCACATAATCCCCAGACAGTTACGTATTTACAATAATTCCACTGAAATGCTTACATACTTTTCTGAAATTCTTCCAGTTTTTTAACAGCTTCATCTCGTTCTTGCCTAATCTTGTCACACTGAAATGAAAAAAAAAAAAGAAATGTTAAATTTCTACTACAAATTTTAAGATTAGAAATGTGTACAAGCACAAACTTCTAAGCAGCAGCAATTTTCTGAAAACAAAAGACACCGAAAGTGTACACATTCGCACTGCGCAGCTAGCACGGTATTTGTGCCATTACGCATCTGGCCAATTTTCTCAGACCTTCTAAGATAATGAGTTGCTCTACTATTCACTATCTCCTCCATAACAGACCAGTTCAACATCCCGGAGTTAAAGCAAACTCATTCTTGAAGAGAATGTTTGTGCGAAGAAGGCTAACACAGAGAGCGTCCCATCATCCCCAAGGCAGGTCCCCCTAGGTTTGACTTGACACAGCAGCGGTGAATTCAGACAAGCAAGGAAAGGCAACTGAAGGAAGGCCACAGGCCACCACCCAGCCCCAGCACTCACTCGCCCACAGAAAGTGATGCTAGTGTCCTCAGAAGTGTGAACAGAAAGTGGCAAATTAAAAGGATGTACATAACAGTACCATAACTTTCAGAATAGGGATGGATCATTTATATACACTGATTTTTAATTTAAAAAGGTGGAAGGACTCACTGAAAAGACTTTAGGGGGAAAACCATAAAAGAAAAAGACACTAAACCATAAAGACCGTGTAGAGGATCTGATATAGAAACAAATATCTCATATTTCAATAAGATGTTATATCATTAATATCAACAAGATGGTAATGATGTTTTCAAAAAAACAAACATTCCTTATGAGAACTGAATTCAATTTACCTCAAATTTCATAAAATTGAGAAAGTAAAATATATTGTAGAGACATTTCATCAAAAGTACCTAAAACTCTAAAAAGTAATTTAAACTGACAGGGTAATAATTAAAAATTTTCCAGGTGTTGGCACATACGTAGAAGTCTAGTGCCGAGGAGGCTGAGACAGGAGGATCACAGGTTTGAGGTCAGCCTGGGCAACTTAGCAAGACCATATCTCAAAATAAAAAATAAAAAGGGCTGAAGCTCCCCTAGTTCAGTGGCACAGCACCCTTGGGTTCCCTCTCCAGTGCTGCAAAAGAACTGAATTTCCTGGGAATACCTTATTCAGTAAGAAAAAAGTACAAAAAAAGCACAACTTCAAATTATACTTGACTGCTAATACACCAGATAAACATACTGGGATTTCAATTTGTTGGATATTTTTAATTTCAAATTTCAATGACTAAAAAATTATAATGTCACTGGTAGTTTGAAAAATCAAAATTCAAACAGAGAGATACTATCATCTATTATACTAGCAAAAACTGAAAAAAAAATCTGATATTAAAACCTGGCAACTCACATTCTGCTGGTGAAAGTGTAAATTAGTATAACTACTCTGGAAATAAATGTCTATCAAAATGGAAAATGCACTCCCCTGTGACTCAGCTAAATGCTACACCTAGGTCTAGGCACCCAGAGAATCTCTAGTAATGCATACAGGATGATCTGTACAAAAATGTTCTACATTTATAATAGCAGTGTATCATGACATATTCCTATGCTGCACTACACAGCAGTGTGAAGGAACAAATTAAAACCATATATGGTTTTATATACACATACATGATACATACATCAACGTAAATCTCTAAAGAGAAAAACAGCAGAATATGCATCAAATGATTACTTGCCCATAAACATTACATGTATGTATATATATTCATGCTATATATGATATATATAAAAATATATGATCATGGATTGGAAGGATTCATACATGACTTATGGCAGCAGCTGCATTTAGGAGACAGAGTGGGTGGTGGGACTAGGGACGAATGGTAGAGGAGACTGTCAATTTTATCTGCATGATCATTTACTTAAAAAAATACCCAGTTGATTCTTTGCAGTGGGTATCTGTTATTTTTGTGTCCTTCTCTGCGGGTTTAAAAATATTTTAAAAATAAACAAGTAAGAAGCAATCAGTTTAGTCTTCCCCTTTTGTCCCTAAACTGGGAAGTGGGACTCTGTTCATATGGGTTAATCCATTCGGGCAGGAGTACATAAACAGGCACCAGTGCTAATGCCGCAAAGCTGGTTATCAGATTCTCATTTCAAACCCCTCACCCCCAAAATGAATCAGGCTGGACAAAAGATCATTTCCTAAAGAAGGCAGATTTTTTTCATTGACGTTTCTTTTAGAAATCCATCATCTGTAAAAACAAAAACAATTCCGCCTAATAAAGTTTCTAGCTCCTCTTTAATAGATAAACTACATTTATCACATTTTGGTGATTAAAATGCTCAACACCAAGAGTTCTGAATTCTCATATAATCTTCCCCATCCAAGCAGACTATTCACACAGTACAGCCATTAATTCTGAGATTTCTGGCCAGCTTTTTCAAGAAAGTTCATCTTGTTTTCTAGACTTGGCTCCTGCTTGTTTTGACTTTCCCACCACTCCAACCTGTCAGTTCACCTCTCTCCAACAATAAACAGTCCAGTCCAGTGGTACTGAACCTACCGCATGCATGTCATAGGGGGCTATTTGTTACCACTGAAAGCTGTAAAAGGGTTTCTCTTACTGGTATAGTCTAAGGCACAAAGGAAACCAAATTTCTGGGTAGACTCAAAGGCCTGAGTCATGATTGCCAATTGAAACATATTTGTTGTAAAACTTTTTAATTAACCTTGTGTTTCTTTTCTGGAAGTATGAGATGTAGTGCCAGAGGTATCACCGAGACTTTGTATGACAAGAGTATAAACAGGCATGACAATCTGTCTAGTCAGACCTGGAAAAGGCCACCAACACACACCAAATACCAATGCAGCGACCATCCACGGGTCATTAGCAATGCCTTACTGTCTTAGGCAGGCTTGGACCAGTTGCCTAGAATAGAAATAAGACTTTTTGCCCACACTTTCTGCTCCCAATGATCAGGTACTCAGACTCTGGTTAATAACAGGTCTCAACATCTGTCTTAGTCCAACATGCAGGTAACCACTCTGCAGCGGAGCTTATGCTAACCCTCTAGTTACCACCAATAGATTCACAAGCTGTCTTCCAACCCCAGCTGTGTTCTATCAGGGGTCTTCATGTTGCTTTGCTTTCTATTTTCTGCAACCACATTATGATAGAACTGGCAGCCACAGAATTTACCATCTGCTCTGCTGAAAAGGGTGTGTGTTGGGGTGGGGGAAATTCACACATGCTACAAATGCAGCTTACTTATTCCACACCAGAATGGGTCAAAATATGAAGGATGCACCCACATACTAAGCAAGAATCCAAACACACACTTCTTATTTCATTTTAGGTGAATCCAAACACATATCCTGTACTCTTTCAATCTACCAACAGGGAGCCATTACCATGGATTGCGGGCATTTTTAGAAGAATGTTTCATCTTTGTGCCACACAGAGGCCCCTCTCTCATCTCACCCTTCCCTCTACTCTGTTCATGCAGCTGCGCCATCTGTAAAAACTGCTTCTTTTTGTGTTGAGAATTGCTCATGAAGACTTTGCAATAGCAACAGATGTTCTTGGGCCCACGTCACTTAATTACGATGCCCAATAATTCTCTGCAGCTCCAGTGGAGTAGAACCCAGCAGCCCAAGTGCTGGCTGGTTTAAGCAAGCTGGATAACATTACAGCTACTCCAGTCTCTATTATGGCTCTTTATGAAGTGATGAATTGACCAGAGTCTGGCCTTGCTGGTTTTGAAAGCCCTTCATATCAGAAGCCTTGGACACTTTCCAGATCTCTTCCCTGCACCACATCCAGGCAGATACTTGGCTTCTTAAACCACCCTGGATCTGAGAGTACTGACTGATTTGCAGAGGAAAGTCCTCCTACTGTGAATTGGCACCTCTGCTATCCACCCATAGCCCCAACACGGGCACCTCAGTTCTGTCTACCTCACCTTTCATACAGCTACTGTCAGCAATTAAAAGTCTGCTTACTGGGGCTCAATAGAAGTGTGCATAACTGATGTAGATATCAAGATAGAGTTATATTTTGTCATGTACATTTCTGAATTGTGTCTAAATTCCATTAACAGAAATATTTTTATCTTTCTGGTACACAAATGCAATGGAAGATTACCAGCCCACAGAGAGGGCTGCTTTGGGCCCCAAGAAGTACATACAAACATGAACCACCTACACATCACCAAGACAGGGGACCACCTAGACATAGGCAAACACCTTACAATTGACCGAAATAGACTTTTGAGCAGGTGTCTCCTATAATCATTGAATGGCTCTGCTTCCTTCCTGTGAGCACTGAGCAAACTCATTCAACAACTAGCCAGGTCGGGATAGTATGTTAAAGACTGGGAGGAAAGTGATGTTCTCAGAAAACTTAGGATCTACCAAGAAAGAACAACGAGGAAACAAACAATAAGGACACTTTATATAATGGAGAGTATTACAGAAACATAGCCAAGGCAATAATAGAACATCTAAAAAGGTTTTAACCCCCACCTCATTTTTCTCAAAGTTCACTGCTTTTATGATCAGATATAATATTTAAACGTTTAAACATGCATAGCACCAAAAGTATGTATATTTACCTGTTTTGAAATCCTTGATGTAGTGAAAAGATAATAAAATCATTTTTAATAATAATCAACAATCTTAACATCCACCTATGTAAATCTGGCCACAACTCAATGGTGCTGTCTACATTTCTATGTGCTTATCCTTGAAGAAACAATACACTAAATAATTCTCAAAAGGGCAGAATCTAAGTCATTTTAAATAATAATCAACAATCTTATCAGTCCATCTATGTATGGCTGGCTACAACCTAATGGTGCTTTTTGCATTTCTATGTCCTTATCTTTGAAGAAACAATACAATAAATAATTCTCACTAGAGAGGAATTCCTTTCACTCTTTACTTCTGTGTTCTTCTTTCTTCCAATTCAAAGTTCTTTCCCTCCAATTTTCACAGGCAATAAAGGAGTAGTAGCTGCCCTGCAAAGCTGTTTCCAAATTCTAGGTCTTGTGTGTTAGACGGAAACACATGTC